GGGTACAAATTATTAACGATTTGCCTCCTGTCACAAAGTCAGTGAAAAAAACTGATCTAATACAGATAGTATACTGCCTAACAGTATTCTAATGCAGTTGAATCAATTTACTCTCCCATATGCAATGTATTAAAAATCCAGTTGCTTCATAGCTTTTCTAGAGCTTAGGATTTTTAATTGTTATAATCATTCTGATAGGTGTGTAGTGTTAGTATTGAGATTTAAATATGCATTTTTCCAGATGAATAATAACAGTTCAATATGTTTAAAAGTGATATGTATATGGATGTAAACAAGGTCTGTCTGGAAAAAGTCCAACCATCGTTAATATAATGAGGATTGTTTGTGCGACATTGATGTAACCTGGCAGCCAAGGAGAGTGGACTGGAAGGCACATGTGTGAACAATAATGACTTTACTGTACTAGTCAGTTGGGGCAGTAAATGCCATTGAGTGAACATGTGTACCCTGTGGCTGTCGCATTCAAAATGACTGAATGAGCAGAGCGACAAAGTGAATCAAATTTTGCATTACACTTGAACATTCCTCTGGGGAAACTATTCAGATGATTCAGAAGGCTGCAGCTGTGGGCAACCAGCGATCGGCAGCTTCATCTCAAAAACACACCCACTCACGCATCACATCTTGTACAGAATTTTTTGGTGAAACTTCAAGTCACCCAGGTGACTCAGTCCCAGATTTGGTGCCCTGTGACCTCTGGCCTTTCCCAAAACTAAAAACACCTTTGAAAGGGAAGGGACTCAGACCATGGATGACATTCAGGAGACTACGGCAGGGCAGCTGGTGGTGATTGGGAGAACTGTGTGAGGTCCCAAGGTGCCTATTTCAATGGCATTGAGGTGTTATTGTCCTATGTACAATGTTTCTTTTATCTTGTACCTCCTTCCATAAATGTCTCCATTTTTCACAGTACATGGTCAGATACATTCTGGACAGACCTCATATTTTTCAAATGACTATTTAAGTCTTTTGCCCATTTGAATTGGATTGTTGGTTGCTTATTATTGATTTATATAAACTCTTTTTACATTTTGGACACGTCACTGGTCACCATTCTGTAATCATTTGATGGAAACAACTTGCATGCCACAGATCCACAGTTCATGTTAAAAGCTTAAATTTCTAGTACGCTATCATTTTTGGTTTTCACTATCCTATACTTACTTCTCATCAGTTATCTTCTATACCTCACCTCATTTCAAAACTTTTCAATGGTCTCTCTGCAACCTTTGCTTAAAATAAACAAATTATTTTCTTTTCTAAGTCAGCCGCTTTCCCTATAACACTTCTGAAAAGACGTTCCTCATTCTCTCAATCACTTTTGGTCCTGCCATTTTTATGAGAATCTCGGCTTTCCACCAAAATCGACATTTCCCCAGCCCCACGGCAGAATCTCTTATCATTTGAGGTTTATGAAATCTAATTGCTCTTCCATTTACCCTTATCCATTACTGTCATATAGCAAGTGTTTCCTCAAGACCCTATAATTATCCTGGGTTGTTTTAAGGACAATGTACAACAAACTATCCTATGTCCCTTGACCTCTAACATCTAGTGAAACTTCTATACACATAGTTGAGTGACCCTGATCCATGACTGTATATTGGACTTGACCATCCTCTGAAACTGACCTACTTTAAAATCAAACTCTCATATCCCACTTTTCTGCCATAATCCTCCCTCCTGGATCCCTCATTTTCTCCCTCTGTTGATGGTTTTTAACTATTCACATTGCAACCCTATAATTATACTTTCATATATCCTCAGTTCCCTAATTTTAATTTATTTTAAATCACATAGCTAGCAGAATTATCTTTCTGAAACACTAACCTGCTTATGTACTCTCCTCTCTATATTGGATAAGCCCAATTCCTTGACAAGACAAGCCAGATTTTTCGCAGTCTCAGATCTTGTCTTGTCCATCTGTCTAAGCCTCACCTTTACTCATAATTCTTAATAAACATTTTTCAGTTTCAAGATCCCAAGCTACTCTTTTGATGCTGAAACTATTTAGATAGAGCTCACTTTGCATTTAACAGCTAAATCTCTATTTATTCTCAAAGGTTTAGCTCAGACATCATTTCTTCAATAAAGTTTTTATTTACTCTTTGAATTACCTGCAGGATGAATTAAGGTGGTTTCTCCTCTAGAGCCCCTATATGTTAATATTTATCACACCAATAGAGTCTAATTTATGAAAAATAATAGCATTATTTTGACATTTAGCTCCATTGACTTTATTTTTTTAATCGTTACCCAAGGACATTTTTTCATTGTTTTCAAAGAGAGAAGAAAAGAGGGATGGAGAGAGAGGAGAAAGAAGGGAGAGAAAAAGGGGAGAGAGAAAAAAAGAGAAATATTCATTGATGTGAGTGAGAAACATTGATTGGTTGCCTTCTTCTATGTGCCCTAGCCGGGGATCAAACTCACAACCGAGAAATATGCCCTGAACAGGAACTGAACCAACAAATAGTCTACTGGAGGACACTCCAAACAACTGAGCCACACCAGCCAGGGCAGTTCCACTGATTTTAACAAAAGACAATGAAAAGAAGAAAGGAGAGAAGAGAGAAGAAAAATAGAAAGAATCTAAAACTAGAGATATTCTATATAAAAAATGTATATATATAAAATTTTTATATAGAATATGTAAATACTTAATATATAATTGGAATATATAAATATATATATGGATCAGTAATGATTCTAAAATTACTTTAAGATATAATAACATTATATAAGCAAGGAATATCTTCCTGGAATATGAACTAAAGCATTAGGTAATCAACATAGTCCTATATTTTAATTTACAAGCTTTAATAAGACATACTGATATCAAAAAGGACCAAATAATTAACTCCTTAAAGTACAGCATAGGGTATATAGTCAATAATATTTAATAACTTTGTATGGTATCAGGCAGACATTAGACAGATTCTAGATTTATTGGGGTGATCACTACATAAATTTTATATATATATGTAAATGTCTATATATATGCATATATATATATATAACCATTATGCTGTATACATGAATCTAATATAATATTGTATGTCAGCTGTAATTGAGGAAAATAAAATAAAAATTTTAAAATAAAACTCGCTTAGAGGAAAGGAACTTATCTTTTAAATAGTGTACAGAAATCTTTTTATATAGGGAGAAAACTAACAGGGAACTAAATACAATAAAAATGATTTTCATGAAAATCTGCTTCTTACTACTTTCAAACAAAGAAGTTTAAATGCCACTCCTCATGAGACATCTCAAGTCTTCTTCTGCTGATAGTGGCAGAAGAAAATGAATAAAAGTCTCCTTCAAACTGAAGAATCATTATAAAAGCGTGTACTCCTAGAGACCCAGTTGGCTTGATCATAAAATGTTTATACATAAAACTTGACAAGCATATAAGACTATACCATCATTCTATAGAAGTTGATCAAATGTAAAGTTTTCTCCATGAAATTACTCTAAGAATCAATGGGACCTCCAGTGATTCCTGTTACCTAACAAACTTATGTGCTATCAAAAACAATTTTAAATTACCAAATGAGACCATTAAAGTGAAGGAAAATTTATGAATCAGATAGTAATAAAGTTATAGATTAGCACACAGAAGTAAATAATATTTATACCAACATAATAGTCTAATGTGGGTATAAATTTGACTATATGCTTTCTAAGGGTAGAAGATAAAACATGGCAGTAAGTCTTATGACTTACAGGTCTGAAAGACAATTAACCATGATAAACAGCCAACAGGGATTTGTTAGGTAATTAAGGCATCTCGAACAACATTTCTTTGTTACAACAGAGTGTTTCAAGTGATTTTTTTTTAAATAGCACTCAATGCAGGTTAATGACATAATGGCAAGTACAAATTTAATGAAAGCAAAGCTGTATGGGACTAAAACAACTTGGAACAAGTCTGCCTTGTGTTAGGAGTAAAATTGAGATCATAAAGAGTGAGTGGGTTGCGTGCCAGTCAGGCTGTGTTCCATACGTATTGTTACATTGATTAGGATTGGACAGGTTTCTGAGTGTGATCTATAACAAGAATCAAAAATGTCTTTTTAAATGAAGTCACTAAGGAGGAACATCTGTTTTCACAATCAATTGGTAAGGGTTAGTGGCTTTTTATAGAATTTAAGTTGCTTATGAATAGTCTTATGAAGACCAAGAAATTTACATTTGTAAACAGTTCTGAATTCACCTTCATTATGGCAGTTTTTGAACTCTGGTTGTAAATATTTTTGCTAGAAAATTTTTCAAAGAAATCATTATAAGCAACTACACACATAAAAAAAGTCGTAAAAAATCTTGGTAAAATCCCTTGTACTACATACATTTTAAGTAATGTATTTTTATGATAGTATCCCTAAAATATGCTAGATGCCAATTGCAAACCCGGGAAACAGTGATTATATCTGATGTATGGAGTCACTGATGATTACATTTTGATTTTGATTTCAGAGTAGTTGGTTTTAGTCCATTTCTATAGCAACAGGCACTATTAAGAGAGCAACTGTCTTTGGAAGCCATTTGTAGTGCATGCTTTCAAAAGCATGTTATCAGTGCAAAAAGAACGTTTATTTTAATAATCTCCATATTGGTTGAGCACAGAACTATTGAATTATTCACTTAACATTAATAAGGTTAGGGAGAGAATGAAAGGCTGAGACAAGTATTACAGAAATGTTGAAAATATATTAAAAAAGAAACACCTGAAAAGATGTTCTCAAATATCAGAAGACCGCTTGACTTTGTAGTGGGTATCATTAAGATGCCTCAACCAGGAATTAGGGGTCTATGCTGAGCTTATATCCCTCATTCACTAACTAATCCTGACCATAGAATCAAGGAAAAGGAAAAGAAAAACCTCAATAAAACTAGATATCCTAAGTCTATATTTTATATTTTTTTAATGTAGCAGATATGGTATTTATTGCCATTTTGCAGCAACTGAGTCTGAACCTCACCTGCTTTACTTGGAGAAACTGGACCTATAATTTTCAAAGGAGAAAATTGTTATTAAATAATAAGAAACAAAACAATCTATATTATTTGTGAATACTAAAAATGTCCTTTAAACAAAAGATGGAAAATGACAGCAGTTAGGAGACATGAGTCACTTCTGGAATGTTAATGAGAGTTTACAAATTGAAAAGTCTCAGAGGCCATAGAGCAGATTAAGCAATTTTCTGGACAGAACAACTTTACTAACTTGTTTAAATTATTAGTATTTAAACAGTTAATGGGTTTAACATTCAATGTACTTATTTCATGATAAGAAAGAAATAAAAGTAACCATTTATCTCTAATTATCCAGGCAGAAGAAATTTTAAAGTAAAGTGTAGGCTGATTTATTAACATACAAAATCTCAAAGGCTTTACAGAGCAGGTATACTTAGAGAATTACAAGAAGTTCAAGTTATTCTTTTTATTAAGATTTTATTTATTTATTTTTAGACAGATGGGAAGGGAGGGAAAAAGAGGGAGAGAATCATTGATGTGTGAGAGACACATTGATTGGTTGCCTCTCACTCACCACCGAGCAGAGACCTGGCCCACAACCCAGGCATGTGCCCTGGCTGGGAATCGAACTAGCACCCTTCAGTTCTCAGGCTGGCACTCAAGCCACTGAGCCACACCAACCAGTGCAGTTCAAATTACTCTTGATATCTAGTGTGTAAGATGATAGGTGAGGATTGGGTAGGTTAATTTAGTTAGAGCCTTGTTTAACATGCTGGAGAGTTTAGAATTCAAATAAGAAATCACTGAAAATATCATAAACATATTAACATATTTAAGCAGAAAGATATTTTGTTGTCTTTTTCAAAGTGGCTCCAGGTATCACAATGGGGGATCCATGGAAAGGAGGCAATTTAGTGAGCATGCCACAAGCGCAATCCTAGGGAACAACTTCTGAGGGTGTCCTATGAGGCAGTCACAGTTGGGATGAGGGAAAAAAATTAAGAAAATCGAAATGGGCTGCCTAATGATTAATTTGATATTGAAGATGAAGCAGCAGCAATGATGAGCCTTAAGTTTCTGGTGGAAAGTTGAGATATCAAGGTTATATTAAGGGTGAGACTGATTAGGTCAGTGCACAAATTCTGGAGTGATACTTCATGGGCTCCAATTCTGAATTGCTACTTCATTGCCATGTGACACAGGAAATTTATATAAACTCTGTGTCTCTGTTTCTTCATATGAAAAATGAGAATAGTTACAACATTAATCTTATGATATCACTTGTGATGATGAAATAAATTCATACATATCATTACCAATAAGTGCAATCCCTTCATGATGTCAGTTGCTACCTCACTCACTCTCATGACCTGACACCAATAAACTTGGTTCCAACAATCTTTGGTTCCACTGTTATTTACAATGTATTGTTCCTCATATCCATTACTGTACTTCTTCTGTCCTCATCCTTCATCTTACAGCTTAAATTCCTTGGTCAGTCCTTATAGGAACTCTCATGCATACACTCAACTCCATGGCTACACTCTCCTTTTATCATAGTTGACAAAATGCAGTCCTTTAAAGGTTGTGCTATGCTTATTCTGCTCCTGGAGCTGAAATATAATTGGAGAAATATGACTGAATATGATGAGAAATATACTCAGCTAAGCTTACTGGTCTTGTTCTAAATTCATAATTATTAACAATGAGTGACTTTTCATGACTACCCACCAATCAATGATATTTCCTTAATACATTAAGCTCCCATTTTCCTAGCTGAATGTTGTGTACTTCCTTCTCGATTCTCAAACTTTTCATGCCTTATACCATCCTTGCTCTCAGCAATGGCCCAGCTCCTGTCTCTCTGAGAAAACTGAAATATCATATTTTTTCCCACTGTTGAGCCCTCAACACAGAGGTAGATTATTTGTTTTAAGTGTAAGTTAAAATCTCCTAATGGCTTCCAATTTCAGTCTGAGTAAATGCTAACAATCTTATGATGGCCTTAATTTCTCTACAGAATATGAAAATCTTATGACCTCTTTGACCTTCTCTTCCTCTCGTCCTTCCTCTGCTCACTTAGGCCCTACTCCCCTTGACGCCTTTCGGATATCGCAGGTTTCTCTTACCTCCATGTCTTCCTTAGTCTGTCCTTGGATGACCCTCAGTCTGTGAAATTCTCTCCCCAGACTGACACATGACCGGCCCCCTCACATTCCTCACTCCCCACTCAGCTGTCTCCTTGATGAGCCCTTTCTTGACTGCATCTTTTATCATAGCCCTAGCATTTCTTCTCTTCTTCTCCTGCTTTAATTTTGTTCATTAGGTTTAAAATACAACCAGTATTTTACTATAATTAGGTGCTAAATAATTACTTATTGCATTGTTCATTGTCGCAGTACTGGAATGAAAACTCTATTCTATTTTACCCCTATTTATAATATCATATATAACATTCAATCAATACTTATCAAATGAATGAATGAATGTTTTGCATAGTAGCTGGTATAGGATATGTTCTCAGTAAATAAGGTATTCTGATTGTATCAAGTAATAATGTATTGGCCACATAAAACATGGTTGCAGTTTTACAGGTTTCAGATTCAGAAGGGAAGGATGGATTAAATATAAATATATATAAATATAAATATAAATATAAATATAAATATAAATTGGCAGAGTCATTAAATCAACTAAATAAACCAGATCCCACTGGGAAGAAGTAAAGGTGGGAAGAAGCTAAACGTGGAAAGCTGTGGCATGTGAGGGCAGAACACAGGGATATATCGATACAGGGCAGATTAAAGTCATGAAAGCCAGGGAAGATACTAAATGAAGAAATCAGAGAAACAGAAGAAGGACCAGCAGAGCATGGTATAATGAAAGTCAATGGGAGGTAGAAGATTTTAGTACGAGATGGTCAATAGTGCCGAATAATTCAGAGTGGGTAGTACCAAGAAAATTAAAAAATAGCACATAGTAAGATACATATCATGATTAAAAGTGCAATAAGATTTAGTGATTGAAAATAAATCTTTAGAATCAAAATTGTCTAAAAAAGCAATTAAAGGGCTGGCAAGATGGACAGAAGAATATTCACATGACACATGTTCTTTGCCTTCGATTATCTCAAAGAAAGAAAGAATAGAATAATAGAATAACAAAAAGAATCCATCATGATTGACTTTATGTGACCACAAGTTGATACAGGTGGGCCAAAGAAGTAGTCTTCTGTCTCACCTCTGTCTCACAGGACTGAGTAGAAACTAGTTGACAGGATGATATAATAGATTAGCTCTCAGAATTAAAATCTGAGACTGAGAATGCATCTAAGCTAGGAAAATTACTCCACTTTTTTTAAAAAAGTGAAAATATGTAAAAATTCTGCAAGTCCTTTCTCTTTTAGAAAATATTATAGAAGCATAAAAAATAATACCAAAAGTCATCTAAAATAAAAATGTTTTTACATGGCTCTCATTAATTTTAATTCATTTTATTTACTACAGGATATCTAATAAATTTTAGATGAAGAAAGGAAAGTTAGAATCGGTTATTGCTAGCCTCAGCAATGTGGAGATATTTCCCTTTGATCTGTATCTGTTGTTTGAGAAAATGAAGAGTTTTTAGTAATTTTTAAATAAGGACATTTAATATGCAACCAGTATTTTACAGGTAATTACCAAATGAACCATAAGTGGGTGCAAATTGAGTAATTTGATTAATTTCTAAGTTGACCTTTAGAAAAGTATTTGTCTAACATTTCTTAGTTGTATTTTTTATTATATCCAACCGAAGTTCCAGCTACTTAATGTTCATGTTGTTTTTAAAAATGAAAACTGCATTATGTATAAAAAATAGTTTGTTTTGTAAAATAACTGTTTCATTTTAGAAACAATTTGGATTTTGAAATGCAATATGAATATTGTCTTTGAATATCTGCTTTTCTTTCTACCAAGGTTTGTTCTTTTCAAAGTTACATTATCTTCCTTATGTATTTTTCACCTGTGTATTTAATGAATTAAGTAATTACTTTTCTCATAGTTTAATTTATTGTTCACTAATGAAAAATAAAATACTCCTAATGGCAGTGCACAGCTTTCTCCAAGGTGTCCTCATTCCAGGTAGCCTCTGACCTAGATGAGAGACCTCACCATTGTAGATATATAATATGCACCCCTTGCAAAACTGCCCATAAGAATACATTCATTATTCTGGGAAGCTAGATCTATAAAACATGTAAAATGTAGAGATCTGCCTGTACAATTTCTGGTAAGTCCAGCATGACTAAGTGATAAAACCTGAGTCAGCTTCAGTTAGAGCATAGTTTACTGAGTGTTTATTGTACCATGAAGGAAAAAGGAAATACAGTGGGCAAAGGTGTCTCCTCTGAAGTAATGAGGTATTTTATATCCATACAGTTCTGCCTTGATCAATGGACAGTTAGCTCTGGAAGCATTTAATCATATAGTCTACCAGTTAGTTATAGAAATTCTAAGCTGTATAGACGCAGGATGAGAAGGAAAAACTCACCAGTACCACTGGACAGATTGTTGTGGGTGGTAAAATATGGTCCTTCAAAGGCCCACAGTCACATTCGGGTTTTAGATGAGAAGCACATTTATTATGCAGCTAGAAAAGGAGAAAGAGGACACTATCAAATGTTGCATGACAACAGCAAACATAGGACCAATTATATTTCGACTCAGTTACAGCAAATAACTTAAAGGTACATAAACATAATTATAACAACAAAGAAACAAGACCATAAAGAGATTCATATTACATTTGCCCTTATGTATCTACCTTAAATAAACCATTTAGCGACTTTTGTGACCCAGCCTACATATTTTCTAATTCTCAAAAATGTTTATAATAAAAATGTACTTTAAGTTTTACAGCAAAAAAAGCCTGGTTTCTTTGACAAACACACATTATTGTCCATTACAGTCCTTCCTTAGCATAATGTTGAAACCACTGTGCACTGTGGATGTTTCTTTTTTTTTTTGACCCTCCTGTTTTCTCAAAGTCATTCCAAAGTGCACAGCTCAGTATGGGGCATAATTGATCCCATCATTAGTTTTAACTTTGTAATTCAATATGTAAATGTAACCAGAGATTCATCTCAGTAGGAGCAGGATATAAATATAAGAAGATGATTATCATTATAAAAATGTATCTTTATATTGTATTTATCAGCTCTACAGTAATTTAGCGTATAATCATACAATGTGTTATTTACTTTTCAACATATATGAACCAAACCAATATTTTATCAACGTTGGTCACAAGTTTAAATTGAGGCATTATAAAATAGTATATTAAATAGTGTTTTTAAAAAAATTGAGGTGGTAGTTTTTATTAGAATCATACCGATTTGCTAAAGTCACAGTTGTTTAAATGCATCTAGGGATTTCTCCTGTTCCCACTGCATATAAGTTCAATATGAAATATCATACTTTAGAAAAATTATACATGTTAAAAAGATAACATGTTCAAAACAAAAAAGGAACTATATCATTTTTTTTTTAGTTTTGAACCAAAAGCCACCCCATTTCAGTCATGCTTACATTAAATTTCACAATAAACTTACCTATGTAACAGTTAACTAATTAACAGTCAAGGATAGGAATCTAATGACTATTGATTTATTGTTGGAGACAGACCTGCATTGGAAGGGTACCTTTATTGTCCTTCAATCTAAAACATCTGGATGCTAACTTCCTGCACTGGAGTTAAGGCTACTTATATTATAACCACACCCATTAGACAATATTATATGAAATAAAAGTACTTTTACATGTTCATCCATAATTAGCAGCTCTGCTTGTCAGTCGCATGTAAACTCCTTATAAAAAAGTGATTTAATATAATCAAGGACTGCTGATCTTTAGTAAGAGATGTTGAAGACAAAGAAGTAGTTGAAGCCACATGAAGAACAAAACTAATTATATGAACACTGATTTGGCAAAAGTAAATGCATGTTTTCTTTAAAATAAAATCAGTGACTGGTTTAAATATATTTTTAACTTATTGAACTTAATCAATTTTCTTAGAATAAATCATGGTCCTGGACTTTTTTGATTTAGAGACAATGGATTACCAAATATGGGCTGAAATAGGTCCCTAAAAAGATATGTTGAAATCCTCCCTCCTGGTACATATAAATGTGAACCTATTTGGAAATAAGATCTTTGTAAATGTATTCAACTTCAGAAGTACACTGGGTTACTTTAAGCCCTAATCCAATGGCTGGTATCCTTATAGAAAGAGAGAAATCTATACCCAGAGACAGACATGGAGAGATGAGGGCCATGTAAAAGACAATGGACTTTGAAATTTGGTACTGAACGCCAGCTGAGCAATAGCAAGGAATGGCATCAACCACCAAATCTGGGAAAAGAGAGGCAAGGAAAAACTCTACCCTATACCCTTTAGAGGGAGCATGGCCTACTGACATCCAGATATTTTATTTCTAGGCTCCAGAACAATGAGAAAATAAATTTCTATTGTTCATGCCATATATTTTGTAGTGTTTTGTTATGATAGCCCTAAGAAATATGCATACCGATCAGCGTGAAAAATGAACCAAAACCAAGGACATACTGTGTGTCTTAATGCTCTTCTTTTCCATGGCATCACAGAGAAAAAGGTTTTCTTACTGATCCTGTACAACCTCTTAAAAACTCAGAAGGCAGGCTCTAATAAACCCTTATAAACAGCAAGATCTGAGATAAAAGTTCTTGTGTGTACAGGTTGAGATAGTACTGATTTTTTTCATCTTGACTGAAGTTTGTAAAGTCTCACACGTGACTCTGAATCTCTTGCCAGCACTGGCCAAAGATAACCATTCTGAGGGCCTTCAGCCTTCCCCATGTCTCCATTCCATGTGTTTCCCACAGGCTGCAACTGATACCGTAAGGAATGACGAGAATCTCTATACATTACTTGAGGGTTACCAAATGCAAGAAGAGATAACAAAAAGAAAATAAACTTAGTAACAGCCTTTTAGCCTCTAGACTACTTCATCACACAGTTGATGAGCAGAAGGGTATGTGTGGGAGGGGGAGTATCTCTTCATACTGTGGATTCAGAGTCAAGGTACTAGCAACTGGTCCCGTGAGATACTGATCTCTGCAGAATGAAATAAAACTAGCATGGGGTTTTCCAGTGTCACTGCCATGTGGCTCATATCTGTAAGTTTTGTATATGCAGCTTAGAGGCAGAATCCTGTAGGAACATGAGCATATAGCATGTCCTATAAGGTCAGTAACCATATCAAGATCTGTAAAACAGGGACACCTACCCAGTAAGTCAATATTGACTAATAGTGCACAAGGATAGCTTACACTTTTATTATGACTGGAACTGTCAGCTGCTACATATATTCAGGTGGCCATCTACATCCTGACATAGTTTGGAAGCAGAAGTGTCAAAGCTGCAGACGCCATGTGGAAACTACTGATCATTCTATACATTGTGAATCACATTTGTGTATAGTAGGTCTAGTCTATCCACCACATGGCTCAGAGGCATAGTTAAAGACAAAATATAAAATGTGAAAGTCAATGAGAAAATATTTATAATTCCCAGGACTATTTAAACAAAATGAAAAATGAATATAATTTTTGCTGAGAACTTGAAATTGCTATAAATAAAGTCAATTTACAAAAACAGCAAATATCAACAAAATACAAACCACAAACTACAATTTAGAAGCTCCTCTGTCCCCCCAAAAAATCAGGTTACTGAAAAATGTTCTGTTTCTTGACCAAGTGCTAGTTAACACAGGAAATTCATTTGTACAACATTCTCAGAACTTTACCCTAAAGATATATACACTTTCTGCATGTATATTTCAATAATAACTTAAAAAGATAAAAAAGTGAACATAATTAGCAATAAAAAACAAGTTACTTGAACTTGTCACCTGACATTTTAGAGACAAGAACAAGAAACTTCTGAGTCCTTCTTAGTGTCAGGAAGATGCTGAAGACTGACGATTGTCTTAAAGATAACTCATATCCTAAATCAGCAAAATTATAAACACAATGAGCCTCATCAAAAACAGAAATCGGCTACAGCATCAATGAATCCTGCCTCTTCTATAACACTGCCAATGGAGCCCCAGAGAAAAGGACTTGTTATCTCTTTACACATGTTGTATATTCGTCAGTTATCTTTGTGTTTTCTCAGAGTAAGACATAGAAATTCTCAGGTCATTATTTTATGTAAAAAATTCCCTCTTACGTTAAGAGAATCAGTCCTACATCTAGGAAACACATGAAATATACACCAGCTTTTCCTGGAAGTGAAATAAACACTTGGAAATAATCTCAGAGTTTATGGCAGTTTCAAATACCACCTAATTTAGAGCCAAACCTATGCTTATTGGAGAAAGTTGTCTCAAGAAAAGAAAAAGTATGTATGTATGTCTGTGTATTTACTGAATGGAGTTGAGAAAAGACTGGGGGGATTGTATAGAGAAAGAAGCAATAGAATCTAAGAAGTAAACAGGAAAAAAATAGACAACAAATTTTTGTAAGAATTTTGAGGGTAAAATAAAGAGAAATAAGTCTTTCTTCTGGGGAAAAGAAAAAAAACAACTAAGTGACCTATGTTAGAGGAACATTTGTTGGCCTATACAGTCTTATGTCTCTAACATTTTGCAACTTCAGAATGCTGTATTATTTCTGGCATTTGCTAATGCATAAGCCTTTCTCCTGGAAAGGCAATGAAAATCTTTATACATTACCATTAGGAGCTTAATATTTTAATTAAAGTTGTAGCCCTACATGATACCAAAAGGAAATAAATCATAGCCATAATATAGGCTTTCTTTTGTTAAACTGAAATAAAATGTCTCCCCCTCCTATTCTGGTGAGTACTGCCTGAGGAATAACATTTTACTACAACCAGGAGCAAATTACAGCATATTTTAAATAGAATGTCAAGGAAACGGCCTCACAGAAGAAATGAACAGAAAAAACAGTGGGATCTTAAGGATCAGGAGATGTAAGCAAGTGAAGGAATAGAGAACCAACAAGGACACTTAGCCTGGCTGACTGAATTATAAAGCACAGGGAGATGCTTGCCTTAAGGTTAAAAGATAGTTTACACTGCTATAACTTAGAATGTTTCTATTTTTATTTTCTTAACTGGTTAGATTTGCTGAAGAAGAAAGAATTCAGTTCTAAGAACCTATCTTTGTAACTACAAGATGGCAAAATATTATAAAATCAAGAAACCACAGGTCTCGACTAGAAAAAAGGGTGTTAAATTAGGTTTATGTCTTTAAGAATTTGTCTGAACTCACTGGTATATCTGATGCAGATTTTATGTTATAGGATTGTAGCGGGTTTTTTTTAAAAAACTGAACTGAAGTCACATATGTAAAATACATGTTAACAGTAAGAAGGATAGTACACCAGACATTAAGTTTAATTTCTTGAGGACCTCCTGCAAACTGAGCATTTCATCAAGGACCTTCGGTAATTAGGAAATAATGTGTATATCGGACCACAGCTAGATCAGACTATAGTCTAGCAGTGCAGACAATGTCAGAATACGCAGACATACAACCCCTGGAGAGCATCTCAGCTTTTCCTTTTGGTGTGGATGAAAAAGATAGAAGGGCCCTGACTAGTGTGGCTCAGTTGGTTGGGCATCATCCCACAAAGTGAAAAGGTGACTAGTTCGATTCCCAGTCAAGGCTCGTGCCTGCATTATGAGTTCAGTTCCCCGTTGGGGCTCATGTGAGAGGCAACAGATCGATGTTTCTCTCTCACATTGACATTTTTCTTCCTGTATTTTTCCCTCCCTTCCCTTTCTCAATAGATCGATAGATGATAGATAGATAGATAGATAGATAATCCTTTTTATATATGTTATTCAGAAAAAATACTAGTATCAAGGAAAATTTCAAGGAAGATACGGAACTTCATTTGGTTCTTAAGGTTTAGTAAAAACTATAGTGGGTGCACTGCAGAGAATACAGTAAGCAAAATAGCAGGTTGGGGAGAGGGAGAGCATGGCCTCCCCCAAGAGAATGTAAAAAAATATGCAAGACTACACAGGACGCTGTGTGTAGAGGGGAATATTATATAAGCCATGTGCCTTAGGATCTGATATTTGAGGAACTGAAAACCAGGTCGGGGTAGGAGGAGGTGAGGGCTGCATTTATTATCACAGAACTATTATGGGTTGCTAAAGGTGGCATATGATAACAAACTAGTATTTTCAGAAGATGGTTCTGGAGGTGGAGAGCAGCCTGCATTATAGGAAAAGTACCTTCTGTTAGGGAGATAAGCCAAGAGATTCTGATCTAATCTAGTTAAGAGGTGCTAAGAGCTTGCACTTGGGCTGCGAAGGATGGAGACAAAAACTCAAATCTGAGAGAGATATTTTAAGGAGAAAATTTAAAGTCTCAGTGATAGGTTAAAAGAGATAAAGGTGAAAGACAAGAATAAAATAAATTGACTTCTAACTCTATTTTCAGTGACTACGAGCATGATGATATATGTCTGATAGAAAAGAGAGTTGGAATAGTTGTTATCTGTGAATTATAAAAAATTCAGCTTAGTCTAAGATTTAGGACCACATGGTTCTGGATGTTTCCAGAACATGTAAGTGCTATTCTGCCTTCAACTGGGAAACTGCAGATCCCTCCAGAGGTGAAAGAGAAAAGGCATGAGTAATGTTCATGGGGTGCCCTCTGAGAGCCAGGAGTTGGGTTTTGTGACCCTACATAATATTTTACCCAGGTTTCACTGTGATAACGATAATCAATTACTAAGCACTTAGTATGCATGAGGTTCTACCCTAAACACATCTACTCATTTAACTATTATTAACAATCCTCCAATGTAGGCATCATTAATTCTATTTTACAAATTAGAAAACTGCCCAAAAGCTTTCTTTACATACCTGGCCCAAGACTACACAACTACCCTCTTAGCTGCTGGAAGGAGACCATCTTAAGAATCTGCTCAGTCTGGCTTCGGAGACCCATGCCATTTCCAAAGTAATATGTAAAAGGAAGTAATAGCATTGGAAAACCCTGAAACGAAGTCCACTTTCATTCCCTTCTTTCCTCTCTGCAACTTATTCTTCCTGGACTTCGTTTAGATAGGCCTTCTTAAAACTTCACACTGAGGGCGCCATATCCCATCAATTTCACTTCTGTTAGCTCTTTGCTATAATAACAGCATTTTGGGGGGAAGTAGAAGAACATAAGAAAGTAGATTCTGTTTGTTTAAAGGCAATCAGTAGTAATGGGTAAGCGTCAGTCAAGAGCACGTCAACTTTATACTGAAATTCTCATACAGTGATTAAAGAAGAAACTATGAATTATACTAAATACATAAATGGCCTAATTATTCTGTTTAACCTAGGTACAAAATCAATATATTAATGAGTCTCTGTAATTGCTTCAAACTTTAAAAAAGTGCCCAGAGGCTAAAGTTACTTCTGAGAAGGCATTTTTTCCCCAATATATGAGAACTCTATCATTGTACAAATCTTGTTTCATGAACCAAATACCCATGGGACTCCCAGACATCAAGGTTTATAGCAAATAAGCTTGAGGTGGGCTGGGAGCATCAGAATTTGAGACAGCTTAGGAAGAGGGCAGCCATTTATTTTCTGAACCCATCTCATACCATAGTGCCCATGGTGGGCTTGTTTCCTGAATAGAATTCAGGGATATAAGGACATTTGTCATTTATACTGTGTTCTCCTTTAAGGAACAATAGAATTACCTTCCTATACACACAGGTCTTTAGTTAAGAATAAGATGTAAAGCCCTGTTGTCTGAATTGATTTAAACATTAAAAATTCCATAGATTTAAAAAACAATAGAGTTTATTCTGAAGTAGAACTTTCTTTCTTTTAAAAGGAAGGGCCTAATGTTTTGCAAAATTAGGGCCAGGTCAAGACCAAATAAAATGTATAACTCGCGAATGGTTGAGCTAGAAATGTAAATTGGAGTCAAAGATTAGAGAAACTATTAAAACAAAAAGAACAAAAATGAGGAAAAAAACAAAATGGAATACAAAACAAAAGTAAATTCAAAATGCTGTTGACACCCAGCAAGAGACCACTAGCAAAGGTAACTCTGAGGAGGAGGATTCCCATAGAATGGAAAGAGTGGAGCATACACAATACTTCATAAAGATTAAATGGGGAAAGTAAGAGAGGAGTCAAATAGAAAAAATTCTAAAAGCTTTCTTATTAAGAGAGGTCCCAATGCGTATTTTTAGAGTATTCAAGCTGAGTACACATTTAAAGTGCATGGATTTCTTTTCAATAAATGAAAATGTAGAGAAAAATAATAAATTTAAGACATTACATTTGAAATTTATGAAGAGTGAGAAAATAAACACAAAGAAGAAATAAATTCTGATAGTCTTGAATTTCAGTTTATGCTGAAAATATAACTAGTGAAAGATGCACTATACAGGAAAAGTAGAAGGAGCTGGGTCCTACCATATCTGAAATAAAAATTATATATTTTTATAGATGTGTAGCAAAAAATGATGAGATTTAATGTGCATGAATTTTATAAAAAAATAAAATGTGGTTTTCTTAAAACTGAGAACTCATGTTTGAATAATTCATATATGTAATTTAAATCATTGTTAGACAATTTATTATAATAACTAAACACTTCAAAAATAAAACTGTTTTTCATAATTGAGGAAATTTTAAATGTAAGTACCATTTAATAGCTATAAATGATTGAAGAAAATGTGTTCACTTAAAAATCAATACTTAAATTTATTTTTGAAATGCAAGTCACAGTTTGTTTTTCTCATTATCCTGTGTGTATGTGTGAGAGCTTCGGGGGTGGGGAGTGGGGTGAAGGACACTACAGAGAAACTCATTTTCTTAACATGAACAGTGTTTTATTCTCCCTACGGTTTCATTCCCACAAAAGCAAGAACGATTTGTCTTACAACAAGAGGTCTCAATATTAGCTAAAAAAAAAGCAATTGAGAAAAAAACAGCAACAACAAAAAACTCAATCCTTAAACGATTTATTACCATGTTGTCAAAAAACAGCTATGCTTGAAGATGTGCATACTAATTAATCTCCAGAAATTAAACATCAAACACTAGAGGTATCATCTAACAACTGCATGTGTTCCAGAGATTATTTGAAGCCAGCTTTAACAATCACGCAAACCAAGAAGAGTCCTAAAGTCTCCCAGGGAAGACCAATCTGCCTTTTCTTTTTCAATTGTCAATACCATGAATGGGTTTGGCTCTATATTTCTTGTCCCTCAATTTATGGTAGAACTGGAGGAACTAAGAAAGAGCATGCAAAGAAGGGACAAGTGAGTTCATAGAAGCATCAGGAACTAAATGTGAACCCACTTGCCTCTCTCCCTAGCTATGTGGTCAAGGTCAATTTGCTTAGTTTTCCTTGGTCTTAGTATCTTTACTATGTAATTAAACCTTTGTACCTTGTTCATTCTTCTGCCCTTTTCAAGCCCAGAGATTCTGCAATTAAAATAAATTTCCATGTGTACAACAGAAAACTACCAAATAGGGCTGTGGAGTAGAAGCAGACATGAACTCTGTTCAGTCAGTACCCTATGCTCATTGCCCACACCTCGCTTGAATTTCTGATTACCCTCCTGGTAACTCCTAAGGCTCCAAGGAGCACAGTTTGAAAATTACATGATGGTATCATATCTAAACCTGTCACTAGATCTAATATTTTGGATCTTATGACTACAACCCTTGTCCCTTTGAAAGCCAAATGAAATAAGAAACTTCCATGGTTTTATGCTTAGTCCAAATTCAGGGTGACCTTGCAGGGTAGGACTCTTACGAAAAGAATATGAGATACACAGTCTTCAAAGTGAGTGCTTTGTAGAGATCTGTTTTCCAATGTTACTCACTGTGATGTGACACCAAACACAATGCAGTCCTGTGAGGCCCTGGTAACATTTGACTGTTTTATGGCACTTATCACACTTGGTTGGGCAGTTGCCTTCAACCCAGTAATGGTGCATGACCTAGAACAGAGCAGAATATGGTGGTGAGAGGAGGCATCCATACACGCCACCCTCAGGAAGCCCGCACTGCCACGCACTTACATCAGTGTTCTTCTTGGACTTCACATAGGTCTTGATGCAAGAAGGAGGCGCTCTGGCCACACAGCGCTCGTGCACTGTGTACTTACAAACTGTAAGGAAACATGTACACACATTCAGAGCTAATCCTGGTCCTGCTTGCAGTTTTATAGGGAAAGGATGACATTAGCAGAATCTCATTTCATGTCCACTGCTCCCTAATCAATCCAATCAGCCACATCAAGAAAAAGTCTTAAGTCGGCTGTTTTTACCATGGAATACAAAAGGCCAATTAGCACAGGAAATATTATGCATGTGAAAAACCAAGACGCCTCTGTCAGGGAATAACAGGAAATGCTTAATTAAATCAGACCTCCCTCAAATCTTTCACAATAATTTCCAGATGACAAAAATATTAAAGACAAATTGATGACTGCCAAATGGCTTCATGTCATTTGCTAGAAAAAGAGATCTATATTTTACGAAGTATAGGCATGAGAGCAGCTGGCAGGCAGGGGAATAAAAGCCCATGAGTTTATGCTATTTTGTCTATTGATTTAACTAAACCTTAAAATGGCTGATTAGTCGGTCTATTTGCAGAGAACAGATTCCGTCATACATGCCAGGCCTTTAGTAACAGTCAGTCCCTCGTTTGTCACCATGGCACCGTTTGTCCAAAAGGAACAACTTTTGCCAGGCAACATGTGATATATGCACATACACAAATGCAAATATTTATATTTATATGCAGTGTGTATCTACATACATACGTATGTGTGTATACATATAAATTGTGACATATTTTATTGGCATGTTCAAATTATTTCATAGCTTGATTTTGAAAGTGAGTTAGGGTCATATCCAGATGTTCTTTTAATAAAAGAACAAAATTAAGAGTTCTAAATGCATAAATATATAGAAAAAATTAAATCAGAAACAACCTGTGGCCTTCTGAATAAAACAAATACTAAACCACTGCATAAAATTAGAATGAAAAATAATAAATCCACATGATATTTATATAGTAAAACTTTTCCATATTATCCACACCTGCAGTATCTTTTAGCAACATTAAGGAAGAAAACATACTCTTTCTTCTCTTCCATGTTGACATTAACAATAAGGGTACTGCATTTTTTGCGCTAACCACTTAAAATTTGTTAGCAAAAGTTCTTACTGTCTATATGACATCTCAACTTTTGGAGAATTATTATGTTTCCTATGCTTCCACAAATGAAATCTACCAAGAAAAATTATTTTCCTTAAAAATGCAAGAACTTTAAAAAACAAAGTACTTTCCCTATACATGGAGAAGGTTCTAGTATAACTAGCTCTTCAAATGAAACCACCTGAAACTGCCCTCTGAAGTCAACACTGGGAAATATCATGTAACTTTATTAAAATCCTTGAATTAGACATCACTTAAATGTGGCACTGAAACATGGTTGTTAATGTCAAATAATACATCTGAGAGGGAATCAATTCCCAAATATACCACAAAAGAAGTGGTTACCTAAAAGTAGTATCTGAAAGTGACACATTGTATGAAAGCCACGTAAGAAATTAGGCTTAATATAAATACACAAAAATTGGATGTTCAATAAACCTGACAGTTTCATAGCAGAAAAGAGTATAAGATGGACAAATTGATGGACCAAGACAACGTCACACTTAGTGAGGAGGACAGGATGAAACACCCTCTGTTTCACCACGGCCATCAGGAGATGGAAAAGTTTCTCAGGCGTGTCTGGTGTAGATTTTAACACGTAGGTGACATGATTTAATTGCGAAGTACACTATTAGAAAATTCTACTAGGCAGTACTCACTTAATAGAATTCAATACAAATTGGGAAGATGAATGTACTGAAGTGAAAATAATGACCACACCTCGTGAACTGGCAAGGCTTTGGGTTCTAGGGTTCTAGTATCCATTAATCACATATGAAGAGTTTATTCATAATAGCAATAAAAACAATGTGCCTATGGTGTACAATTAGTTTCTCTTTCCTGTGATTTCTTAATTTGAATGCAAATCAACAGCCAATTAATTTAACTGTTTTCTAAAAGACCGAGGAACTCATTATGAGAAGTTAATGTGGATAAAGTGGTTAATTTAGAAAAGAAAAAAAATTAGGATAAATATGAGTTAGAGATAAATAAGAGAAACTAGTAAAAATTTTGTAACAATCTCCATAGAAATGGGAACAATGATATATTAAACTACAGGGGAAAGAAAATGGCTAACGGATTGGAAAATGTCCTTAGCTCTTTCCTAAGTGAGTTTTCCAAAACTGAAGGAAGTTAAAATGAGAGTGACCTAACTGCTCAGAAACGCACCACAGGGAAGTATAAATCACAGTTACAGGAACAGTGAGGATCATTCCTAGGTCTCTGTCTACAAACAGGACTGTCCCATAAATATCCACCTCTCCTCAGCGGAGGTGCTGATGTCCTGGTGGAACAAACATACTCACAGGAGCAGCAGAGGCCCTGCTTCCCCACCCCGATCAGCATGTTCAGGCAGAGATTGCAGTAGGCAGGTTTGTTAAAGTGCTTGAGTCTCCACACGTGCTGTCCATCATCTTTCACGTTCTGCACAGGACGTAAGAGAAACAGATTGCACTTAATGAAATAAACAGTAGAATATGTAAGTGCCAATAAAACTCAGAGCTGGACTGAAGCATTTGAAGACAATCTGTTATTTCATCCCTGACTTTCTCCAAGGTCGCCACAGAGTCTAGAAAAACACATGTGCTCTTAGCGGAATGAGATCCTGCTAACAAATCTCGGAGGCTATAGCAACCCACAAATTTTTGTCCAATGTCAGCAGTTCAACAGCATGCCCCAAACCATCATAATGACCTGCCAAACTGAGGGATGCATCTGCCTCGACTTTGACTACTTTATCCTAAGCACGATTCCATAAACAAATAAATGAATAAAGAAAGAGAAAATGAGGGGAAGAGCCTTACAAATGAAAACTTGGAGAGAAGCTGTTAACCCTCGCTTAGTACTCAGGATATGCAAGTCTTATGATGGTAGTGAAGTCTTATAAGAAACCTGAAGGATTGGAAAAGGTCAGTTATTGGTGATGTTCTAAGGCTTGGGTTTAGAGTTGCCTATATGTTAAAATTTATATTAATACATTTTAGAGTTCTCAAATAGTAAATTTTAAAGAATACACTTTTTTAAGGACCTAAATTACATAATCATTTCCCTTTCTCCCTTTTTTTGTACTCCCATAAAAGGCAGTAAAATATTAAAGTTTTCTTACTGTATTTATAACAATCATAGTTACTTGCCACAATAAAACCTTGTTTAAATAAATTCACATTTTAGCAAAACAACTGTAATTATTATTTATTCTTCTAAGTAAAACTATATATAATGTCATAATAGCAACTTCACTAATAGGTATTTAATCACATCTGCACTGTTCAAGATTAAAATAAATGAAATAATGATACTTATGAATGTCCTGAACTCCTTATGAGAATTTTATAAATCTGTTAAATGAAGTTATTACATATTATTACTTTTATTACCACTATTTTCACATTAACATCTAGTTCTTATATATCATTCATCAAATTGCATCAAATTCAATTAATTTTAGACATCATTTATTGGTTTTCTATCAAAATCATTATAGGTCATAATTAGCCAGTGTGTCATATTTCTTAGGATACATTCACCCTATAATTTTTTGAGCACCTACTACATTCTAGGGGGCACATTATAATACTAATTCTCTAGTAGTGGAACAATAAAACTTGTCCAGATGATCTTATTCCTCTTGATTAAAAATATCAATAGTGTTTCCTAACCACTTTTTTTTATTCTCAGCCAAGAAATAAACCTCCAGATTTGTTGAACCAGATTAGATCCATAACTAATTCTTACATTAGACCCAGAAATGTCAAATTTCCATCATAATATGAAATGATAGTGGAAATGCTTCCTGGGAGCTAATTCTCCATAAGTCACTTAAATTTCTGCACATTTTGTAAGCAGAAGTCTTTCTTTCCAGCTGTCTTTTCTAATATTTTTAAATAGCAAATAGCTTTAGACAATAGATCTATGTATCCCTCCACAGTAGAGGGCAGATAAAAATAAAATAAAAAATCTTTCCCAACTCAGCAAAGGTTAAGCAGGTTTGTTTATTTCCCATTATAAAAAACCTGGTTTCCCTAAGCCAGAGGTTCCAGCTCTGATGGTCTGCACAGGAATTTCTCAGGCCACACTCTATCACCCTTCTGAGACTTTGGGGACCACAGACCTGGCTCAGATATGAAGCTCCTGCTTGCTTTGCCTTGAGCTAAAACATTCTTGGTCTCTGACCCAGAAGTCTCATGTCCTCTATCATCCGGAGTGAAACTGGCAAGCTAACTGGTTAACCGGTGAGTGGGTTAAATTTCATACCCTTCACAGTCCTTGACAATGCTCAGATGCCTGACAAAAGTGTAGCAAGTTCTCAACAAAAGCAGCCTCACAGAAGGTATCATAGAGAGGACTTCAGAAGACACGTGTTTTAATTTTCTCCCAAACTTATGGAATAGGTTTTATAGTCATTTCTGGATCGCACTCTGGTTTGCTTCGGTCATACAAATGTTAATATGTTTATCATATGAATAGAATGCTTTATATAACTGTTTATCTTTGATATATTTTCCAAAATGTCTATTTTTTAAATTTTTATTCCTTTAAGTAAGAACATCCTGACGTGAAAATTTTAAGTAATGATGTTGTTCATTTTTGTAAAACATACTGATAAAGTAAATGGTTAAATGCTTAAAAAATATTTTAAAGTGAAAAGGGGAATGGAAAAACCCAATGTTCCTATGTATTACTGTTCTTATAATCCTTGTCATTTTATTTTTAAATGATTGTCCATTACATGTGAATAAGCCTCATCCTGTTAAAGAGCACATATGGACCAAGTTAGCTGGCATTTCCTTATCAAAAATAAACAAGTGTGAACGTGGGTGTTCTGTCAATCAGAACACTTAGCCACGTTACGGGCTGCAAGTGATGTACAAATCCATTACCCAGATATAAAAGGCTTTACCAAAAAAACAAATTAAATAGCTTTATAGCTCTTAGCCGGATATATTGCCAAAATATGCAAAAGATGAAATATGTATGTGACTTCAAGAGAAGAAATTGAAACCAAGAGCCAACTACTTCTCAGCAGTGCAAATTATACTCCAACTCTCTGTATTTTCATGTCTTGTCTTGTTTGTCTAATTTAGATTGTAAACTTGGTGGGGGAGAAGGAGAATCTGTCCCCTGTTATATTCTATCAGCCGGCTGAGCATGTTCCTATTAGTACTTCTGTTGCAAATAAATATTTATTGTCATAGAAAGGAATTCATTTTTATAAGAAAGAAATGCAGAGGAAATGTGGACGGCTTGATTCCTGGCCTCCATTGAAAATGGAGATAAGCCTTTTCACCTCTCTTCTTATTTTCCTCTCCAATAAAATGAAAGTACCCACTCTCCTCTCCTAGGGCAGGGTGTGAGCTTTCATTATACAATACCCGTGAAGTCAATTTAGCTTCTCAGAAGACTAGTGTTATATAAACAGCAAATATTATTAACATCATTGGGTTGAGTTGTATAACATTCCGCTCTTTTACCCAAAAGAGTTTAGAAGGATGTTTGTGGGTTTCCCATATTACATAAAAAATTCTTCTCATGACTTTTTCATAGAAATGTAATCCTGATATTTAGAAAACATCGTATTTTATAATGAAGCAGTTTAGTTATGTGTTTATGATAGAGGAATGCTTAATGACTCCTAGGCAATTTCACACAGAGAAGCACCAGGTTCTTCCTCTCCTTCTAATCCCCTAGAAGTCAAAAGGAGCTTTCAAAGGGAAAAATGCCCTTTGGAACTTTTGAAATATATTTCATTACCAGTAGTGATTTCTGAAGTAACAGTTTGTTTTTCTTTTTTTCACTCCAGAGGGAATACATACATTCAAGATCACATATTGTGTTCAACTGAACTAGGACTATTATAAATAATATCATGTCTTCAACAGACCTCAAGGAGAAATTTCACTGATACAACACTCAAAATGTCCCTATACCCTCACCAAGCCATATCTCCATTTCTATTGACTTCAGTAATAATATATAGAAAAGCTAATGTTGCAAAATAATCCCAACTCATTAAGTAATAATCACCCTTAAATTACCTTACTTTCCTAGAAATATGAAAGACAATTCTCTTTTAGACTAAATGATAAGCTGTATCATGCCTGGGCAAAGGGGACACAGAAAGAAGTTCTAAAATTCTGACTAGAACAGCAATCAACTGCTTATCTCCAGATCATACTTTCTGAAGTCAGGCTCAGGCATCATTTTTGAGGTTCAAAGGGAAACTCAACAGTCATCCTCGTTGAATGTTCTAATATGGGATCTCAAGAACTGTTGAGTTTACCCAGCTTCGTAACTCCTCTCTGGACTGAGCAATGGATAAACAGAAGAACAAAAACTCAACCAAATTAAATTTTCCAAAGAAGAGTGTAGAACATTAGTTTTTTCAAATATAGCTCAGTCTATTAAGATATGTCATCTTCTGCTCTCCATCACATTCAAATGTTACCAGGGATCACATTTCATCAGCATTCAGAAGGCAAAAACAAACAATAACTTTTACTCCAATGAGTCAGGCTTAAAAATGTGTCCTTCAACATTTCAATCAATGGCAAAGTTTGAACTGCCTATAGGTTAAAGACCAGGATACTGGGAGCACATATAGTGAAATCAAAATATATATCCATTCTAAAATCATGCAGGTCAGATGTAGCCACAAAAATTCAAAACTAAGAAGTTAAGGTAGCATCATTTTAATCAAGGTTTCTACTTCAATATGTATTGCTGTTTATATAATAATATGAATTCAGGAATTTTCCTTGAAAAATCTAGAAAAGATCTAAGACTACAGATGTCAGACAATTAAGCATTATTATTTATTTTGTTTTTCTAGGAAAAAGAATGTCTGTACTGAAAGAATATTAGAAGGAAAGGGATATTCTTGATTAACATTTTGTATGTCCAGAAAGGATGACTGGCAGGCAAAAAAAAAAAAATGAGCCAGTTAATTAATAACAGAGACAGGGTGAAGACCAATTTGCTGAAGTTCACTGTTACTATGCTATCTCTTCATTAGTCCTCATGTCTTGCTGGGGTTTTCTAATTGAGCTAAAAGTTATTAGAGTTCTTTCTCCTGAATGACAAAAAATAAATTAAAAATCTTTGTGATTGTAATATGACAGATTAGTCATAGACTAAATCAGGGAGTCAGAGCACTGTGGCCCATGGGTAGAAACTGGGCCATCAGCCCGTTTCTGTAAGAAAAGTTTGACTGGAACACAGCCCGCTCTTTCATTCACTTGGCGTCTGTGAATGCTTTCGCTCTTAACAGTAGAGGTGAACAGTGGCTGCAAAGACCTATGTCCTGCAAAGCCTGAATTATTTACTGTCTTTTTACAAAGTTTGCTTACTGGAGCACAGTTTGTACTAGATAAAGTTATCTCTTAAAAATGCATTCAAAATTGAAGCATTTTTAAAAATATGTTTTCAATGAGATGAATACCAAAGAAAGAAAAACTCTCAGGCATAAATAATTATTGCAATCAAAATCTCATATCCATGCAAATTCACTATCTTACATCAGGTGTAAGTGTCTGTACCACTTTATAATGGCTATCTTAAAGTCTGATAGACTTCACGTAAGAAAAAGAAAATGACTCTTTCTATTATTTGATATGGATGTTCTGATAAACTACATTTCTGATTTTGGTACTAAAACAGATACTATTTAAAAGAGAGTAGCTTTTAAAATTCTTTTAATGGAGAAAAATAAACTACAATAAAATCACAGCTGCACTGCCCGACATTAGCAGCGAGGATTACTCTCCTAGGACAATGTTCTTATCTGTGTAATTTGTCTGGAACGCCGCAGTCGCCCTCATATACACTGTGGGATTTAACACGCGCTGTCAATTAGAATCTACTCCCCGAGCTCATAATTGACAATAGACAAGAATATATAGGACAACATAACAAGACTGGCCCCACAATAAATGGCTGAATTCAACCTAAAGCTTCTAGGATTTCAATTTGATAAGCAACAGCGTATTTGGGGGGAGAGAAGGGAAGGGTGGCCTCGGGGAAATAACACTATGAATCAAATTCTCTACAGGTAATAACATAACACATTAACTGCCTACAGAAAAGGAAATAAATCTCAATTACAAAAAAAAAAAAGAGGGGGGCCCTCAGCACTCAATTGTCAATGTCTCATTCCTGCTTTCTGCTTTCTGCAAACACCCTGCCTGTTAAAAAGCTGTTTCTAATAGATACTATGTTCTGTGATCATAATTACATGGCTTATGCATTTTGTTAAATGGCAATTTAAATATTATTGACTACTTTTTTTAGAGTAAAGGAAAAAGATATTTCTGTTAGGCTTGTTAGCTACCAGGAAAAATCTAATCTTGGTTGTTGACTTCCAAATTTTAAACAATGCAGCCCTGCCATCTAGTGTCCATCCTTGGGAACACATGTTTGGAGCACATCTGGTTACTTACCTTTAAAACCCTGAATTGATTTCTCCTATTAAGCACCTAAAACATTATTTTTTTTACTAAAAACACAAACCATAAATTTCATAACATGATTATATAAGTTGTTATGAATCATGAGCCTGATGTGTACTAATGGCAAAGAGCTGTTATTCAGATGACGTGAAGTTACTGCTACACTAGGAATTGATGAGGCATTGTATATTTGTTTAAAATGTTTTCAGTTAAAGCCATATAGACAGTGAACTATACTTAGCCATGCTATTTTCATGACTTCATAAATGTCTATATTTATTAATCAAGTTTTAAAAAGTAGTTTTCAAAGAAAAACATCATTTCAAAATCTTTCTATATTTAAATATAGATGACTTAGTCTCCATTTACATGCTTTCCTATCTAATCCCCCAACTATCAGATGGTTTACTTACTCATTCCTGCATCTTATCTCATTCTCTCATACTATAATTTCCATAAATTCCTAAAATAAACAACATTTTAGCTTTAAAAATATAAAATTCCTTCTAGGGAGCCATTATTAATAGAACTTCTTGACTAGTCATTTAACAACTATTTTTCATATGAGTAAACACTAAACTTTAAAATGTTAACATTCAGTTTTCTTTTTGTTTTCTCCCAAGTCTGATTTCATATAATTCTGTCAAAAAGTATATCAAACAGGTAAACAAATATTTATAATACAGAGATATATAATAAATTATTAGAAAAAGATACTAGTTTATGTATAGTAAGATGAAATCACATACAAGATTTCAGTATTAATTTTAGAAAGGCAGAATAATATCTATTAAAAATAAGATTTATACTTATTATTATCGTTTTAATAAATTATCTACTTTAAGGGTAATTACCTACATAGCATCCATTAGTAGTTTTTCTTTTCCTCCTTGAGCGTGTCTAAATCCCATGGACCTCATGAACGGTAAGGTTAGATTGAATGTGAAAGAATTTGAATAGCCTCGTGAAAAAGAGACAAAAACTGCAGTCCTAAAGCCCATTTATATATTCCCAAGCCTATTACCAAACACACTTGTAGGTACTCCCACATGTTTTACAAACACAGACTGTAAGAGTTCTTTAGGTTGTCTTAAAATTTTGTTATCTTGAATAATTTCAAGTATTATCTTGAATCTGCAAAACCGTCATTGCTGGTGGTAGGAAGCATGAAATGTGTTAGGGTCAGCAGCGAAGCGGTAGACACTATGTCCTTCTATCTCAGTCTCTAAATATTACATGTCTCATGGCACTCTTAGTAATGTTCTTGAATCTAAGTATATACTTTACAATAAGCATTTTATTGTTAATTTGTTTGCCTATTAATGCTAAAAACGAAAATCTAGTATTGGCTTGGATTTTTAAATTAACTATTGCTAAAACTCATATCAAGGCAAAACTCATATCAAGGCCGGGAAACAAGATTTGCTTTCAAAGTCACCAATAATACCACATTCTGATTTTTGGATTGATCTATTTTATTCCCCTAAACCAGCATTCCATTACCACTGGAGGCACTGATAATTAGACAACTTTTCACAGGCATGGAACAAAAGCCTGACTGATCTGCTCATATGTAAGAAACAATTGTGTGTTTGCGTGTGTGTGTTTGCGTGTGTGTGTTTGCTCTTAATCACATTAACATATCATCCGCTTCTTCAAGTATTGCTTATCAATTAAATAGATTATCTTTATAGGCAGGGGACTTATGGTATGGGATGAAAAACCACAGAATGCAACAATATTGTGGTTTCTTGCATTAGATAAAATGAGAGAGTCATTAATGTTTTTAAACTAGATTACACTTCCAAAAGAGAGAAAAAGAAAAAGAAAAAGAATGTACTATGACAAGTATCACTACACAAGGAGTTACTGTTAATTGCACTGTGCGTGCTTATTAAAAGGTCCAGGCAGTCACTGCACACTTACTGGTAGACAATGGCCAGGTTAACTTAAGATCAAAGCATGTAAAGGAGAACCCCACTGACCTACGACCAGGCACCCGCCCTGTGTCAATGCTTACATTTTCCAAGCCGAGGAGCACAAGAAGTGGGATCGTTGTCATTCCTCCTTGGATCCATTCCTCCAGAGAAACTGTCCCGTCATGATCATAGTCGATTTCTTCCATCATTTCATGAAGGATCTGAAGCAGTGGAGTAGAGGGAAACCTTATTTTGAGTCAATAACATACCTTTCATAGAATACAATGAAGCTCTGCATTGGATTGGTTTTTAACTGTGACAAGCAGCTACTTGGAGAGTTGAGGTAAGTATCTAGGTAAACTTGTACAATATTAATCTTATTACTAAGTATATAGTGGCTTTGTTATGATTTCCAGAGCCTGACTGCTTTCGCTGATCAGCTTTTAAAAATAATACCTTAACTCTTTAATAATGTTGTCACTGAATGGTACAGCTAAAACAAGGTGTCTTTAATTTAGGAGGAAAAATGGTCATTAATTGCTTTCTCTAGAATATTTTTTAAATTCAAATATATGCCAGATAATGTCTGAAGAAATTAACTTCATGGCAAAGAGCTGAAATACTTCTTTGCAAAGTGGTAAAAGGCAGAGAAATTAAGTTGGTTTTAATTGCCTACGAGAATTTAATAGAGCCAGGAAGTTAAACAAGCCATTTTTGATAAGTTTCTTTTCATGAAGATGACTTGCACAGAGTATCCCAAAATGTCCTCCATAGTCTGTGTTGGTTAACACCCTTGGTTATATGGCAGTGAGGATAATACTCAATTCAAAGTTTTGTTGTGAGGGTTAAATATGTTAATGGAAGTATCTTCGAAGAGCATCTAGCATATACAAGTATAGTAAGTGTGATACAGGTCTTGTTAGTGTTATATTAACAGAAACTATATGCGAGTTCCAAATATATTACCATTGGCTCTAGGAAGGCAAAGTACTTCCTACCTAATTGCACCACAATGGCAAATATAGTAGAGTTCCAATGAAAAAAGTAACTCAGCATCTTTAATGTGGACATTTTCATCAATTCAGAAAAAGAAATGCAGAGAGCATTGGAATAAAAGTTTGATAGAAGTATTGTTTGAGTAAAATTCCTTAACTTGATTTATGGGTGTCTTCCCTCAGAAAATATGTGAAAATCTGAGTATTTTCCTTCAGAACAAAGTAATAGGTATTGGAAAGAAAGATATTTTTTGGAACAAAGTGAACTGAACTAATTATTTCCTTACTGTCAAAATAAAACACAGGGGAAATTATTTAGAATTTGGCAAATGGCACAGGATCAAAGCTCTGGTGAGCCAGTATAAAATGAATAAATGAGAAGAAAGCTAAAATACAAAGCATTTGATTCAGATGGCTGATCCTTTCATTTTTGTACCTAATAAATCTAATGTTATAGCTTGGATGAGTTGTTTTCATTTTTTTTAATTCATTCCAAGTACCTCTCCATCTTCCCTACTCCCTTGCCATCAACCTCAAATTTTCAATTCTCTTCACTGACATACACACACTTATCAGGGGTCTGACAATGTGAACAAATGCACACACTTGTTTAAAAAGAAGAGAGCTATTGAATTGTCAGACAAGATGGGGCTATTCCTGTGACAGCAAACGTAACGCATAAGGTAAGCTGTTTATCTTGACTTTCTACTGCTTATACCACTCACAGAAATGTCAGACTTACGTGGGTGTGCCACAAAAGGCAAATAATGCTATATAGTTTATTATTTGTGTTTTCTAATAGGTATTCATGACAATGAGCCTACCCACCAATTCTTTCCTTCCTTACTGTATCCAGATCCCCCTTTTCTCAAATCCATCCCCCCCAAACAATCTCCTTTTGGGAAGCGGTGAAGCTCAGTTCTGCGTTGAAACCTCATACAAAAAGAGCTCTCTCTCCCTCCATGACTCCAGTGAGGACAAGAGGCTTCATTGATAAATGAAGAATGTTCACAGATATTGAGGCAAGTAGGATGGAGAAAGTTGTGCTAGATTAACATCAGCAAAAAGGACAACAGAATGTATAAGAAGTCTCTTGATGTCAGTGCAAATAGTTTTACAATGAATTAAGCAGCATTCCTAGAATTAAATGTGTTACCATAAACTTTATTATTCCATATAAAAATCTACAATATTGTTATGATATCTGAACTGAATTAGATATAGCACCTGCATTTCCACATCAAAAAAAAAAAATAATAATAATGAGTTAAAACTTGAAAAGCTATGTCCCAGTAAGAATGGTGTCCTTCTTAGTACATGACATTGTACAGGACTTTGTCGTAGGTCACTGGCCAGAGTTTGTAAAGTGAGGGAAATGATATCAGAGCTCTTATTTCACATAATCATGCCACCACCATGCTGTTACCTGCATATAGGAATAGTGTTTGAGGAACAAGTTGTTGGACTCAAATAAAATATAAACCATTTAAAAGAAATTGATTTGTATTTGCTTGACTCATTTGCTAAACCTAGTTGGTTTCAAAAAGAAAAAAATAAATAACACTAATTAACTCTCCCCAAAATATTACTTGTAGCCAAAGTCAGTTTCTAATCAAATATGTTATAACTCATAAAAACCTATTAACATAAAAAGCATTTATGGCCCTGGTTGGTATAGCTCATTGCACTGAGTGCCAGCCTGTGAACTAAGGATTGTCAGTTCAATTCCCAGTCTGGGAGAATGCCTGGGTTACAGGTCTGGTCCCCAGGAGGGGACACACGAGAAGCAACCACACACTGATGTTTCTCTCCCTTTCTTTCTCCCTCCCTTCCCCTCTCTCTAAAAATAAATAAATTAAAATCTTTTAAAACATAAATAAAATAAGAAGTTTTTATGTTTAATAAGCATTGTTAGATACTATTTCTTTCAATCATTTCATTAACTAGCTTAAGAGCTTTGGATAGATAACTTCAACATTTTTGATATCTCAATTTTCTCATTGTGCAATGAATAAAATGGTAGTATCTACCTCAAAGAGCTGCAAGCATTAAATAACACATATACAAATGATAGCTCAATACACTGTGCACAGTAAATGATCATCATCTCCTTACTCCCCTTCATCTTCATCTGGAATGACTACCTTACCAATTTTCATATAAGGACAATCATAGAGATCAACAGCATGTATCAATTCCAACTGTTTCATAGTATGGCATGGCAGTGGTAGTGTGGATTAGCAGCTCCTGTTTATCTCCACATATTTAAGATAACGATTCAATTTAATTTTCACAAGAAAGAAAAGCAACACATACTGCTAAGAATTTCACAAAACTACAAATACTCTTCCTTGTTCAATATCCATTTTGACTACTGATTAGAAATATCTTAAGAGTTATCCACAAAAAAAAAAAAAATCAAATGACAGTAATCTATTGGGGCTCCAAGAAAGACAAAAGAGAAAGGCACTTTCTAGAATTCAGCCAACAGTTAAATCATTCAGCTACCTACTGGATTAAGTTCGGTGACATCCCATTCAAGGTACTCGGCAACATGCATCATCTGACTGATGATGTTTTCTAGTTCCTGGAGCAGAAAGAGCGAAAGGAAGATAACGAGAGACAATCAATACAAAGACTTAGTAAATCCTTTAACTTTGGTTTACAGCTATTGTTTGCTCAACAAGTTGCTCCAAAATTTAAAAGTTATAGGAGTAATATCTTTTTAAAAGGTCTGAAGTGTAAATTCATCCTGTACTGGTCTGGAAATCTTCACCAGGAGAGGGCACCACTATACAAAGGAAGAGTTTCTTCCAGCAGAAAATTGTTAACTAAGAAACTCAAAAGGAGAGTCAGATGAAAGTGGGAGCGGGCATGATTTCACAAGATGGGATTTTTAAGCCACTGAATATCCTGACCTTTTCGCTTGAAATCAGGTGGGGAAGGAAGTGTCCGAGGGCAACTAAGAAGCTTATTTTTATTCTACAAAAAAAAAAATGTATACTGACTGTTCTAGCCATTTATTAGGAAAATTTGCTCTGCTAGAGATGTCTTCAGGGTCCAGGTTGGAAGGCTAAGTACATGTAGAGTTTATTTTATGAGAGCATAGAATTTTAGTTTGAATCTTCACATTATTCTACTCAAATGTCAACTCTTTGAGGAATACATATGGTTTTCCTAAAAAAAAAATAAAGCATTTTTCATACCTATTTATTTAATGTTTTAATATTCCCATCTCCATAAAACACTAAAGATATACTGTAAATGCTGTAAATGCATTAATTATGTCAAATGTAGTCAATGATATAATTAAAAGTCGTGTTATAAAGTGTGATAATTTAAAATGTAAGTATAAAAGAATAAGTCTTGAATATATGAGGTCTGTCTAGAGGATATCCAGCCATGTAATGTGAAAAATAGACACATTTATTGAAGAAGACACAAGAAATACTGTACATAGGATAATAACGCCTCAGTCCCCTTCAAAGTAGGCATGTTGGGACCTTACACAGTTCTCCCAATTGCCATCAGCCATTCAGATGTATTTTCCTGTATCTCATCAACAGTCTGAAATCTCTTCCCCTTCAAAGGTAATTTCAGTTTTGTGAAAAGCCAGAAGTTTCAGGGAACCAAATCTGGGCTGTAGAGGGGCTAAGTCACCTGGGTGATTTGATGTTCTGGCAAAAATATTCTGCAGGAGACGTGATGAGTGGGAGTTTTATAGTGAGGGAGCAGCCTATCACCAGTTGCCCATAGCTGCAGCCTTCTGAATCATGGGGATAGTTCCCGAGGAATGCTCAAGCTTAACGGAAAATCTGATGCAGATTTGTTGCTCTGTTCGCTCAGTCATTTTAAATGGGATGGCAATACAGTACTCACAGCCATCACATTCAAACTGACTGAGTGTCACTCAACAGCATCTACCGCCCCCACTGACAAGTGCAATGAAGTCATTATGGTTCACACATGTGCATTCCAGTCCACTCTCCGTGACTGCATTGTTATATCAATGTCATGCAAACTGTCGCTGCTATATTAACAATGGTTGGACTTTTCCTGGACAGACTTTGTGTATTAATAAAAAATTATTCAACTAAAACCTCTGATCTAATATGTGCAGTTAAAATTCATAGAATCAAGATGAAAATATGGTAGAGAGGTTTTGAATTGCGAGGCTCACAGATCCGTCTGCTAAAAGCTGCACTCCCTCTCTGCAGAAAAGATGTTCTCATGAAAATGTTATTTATGTAACAAAGGATGCCCCAGAAATAATACAAATATATGTTCATTTATTATAGATAGGAAAATTTTTAAACACAAATCCCTTGGAATGATAAGCTAGAAGTGTGTGTGTTTTACTAATCTTTCACACACAATATTTTTGCTTCTATAAGCCTAAATAGTTTGGAATGGTTAATTCCCTGAGTATGTTTTTTAAAATGGAAACTATTTTTGGCAAACTATTATATAGGTTTGTTATATTAGCTAAGTCATTTAATCTTAGACTCAGTTTTTTAATCAGTAAAAATATTACTTTTACTATTCTAATATTACCTAGTTTGCAGAGTTGCAGCAAAGATTAAACATGCTGTCATACAATATAAAAAGCATTTATCTTGTCTGTCATGTTGCAAATGATTAATAAACATTAATTAGTATTATTAGACATAGTGGTCATTTTTCAAAATATCAATTTTCCTCTATTTTGCTTTCAATATGTGAAGTGCTACACCTTTAAATTTCTAAGACAAATGACATCGGAAGTTACAATTTTATCCTAATATTGAAGGAAATGTGCTGGGACAGTAAATTTTGTGGAGAAAACTGTAAAGGCTAGTTTAATCATAAACAAATGTATTTATGTCCAACTCATTGTTTAATATTGTAAATATAGTCACAAATATTGCTAGTAATACATTTTTAAAAAGGCAGAGATCATAAAAAGCAATTGATTAAATTTTCAAATCAGCTGTCAACCAATGGCTCAAAGCCTAGTAAAGAAACATCCTTATATTTTAATTAAAAAGAAACTTAAATACAACAAATCTGTGGTAAAAATATAATTTGCATCAGTGTAGTCAGAAGTGCTACAATAAGCATATTGAAATATCTAGAAAAAAATCTAAACTCCTTGTTGTGAAATGCCACCAGAAAATGAGCAAATGGATCATGTAGCTTAAGATTCCTAAATTAAAAAATGAACACTATTAGGCACATGAAAGTAATAGCATGTGAAAATATAGAGAGACTTATACATAGGAAACCCCGCAGTTATAACATCAGTTCAGACTGGTGCTCATTTCCTAGAGTGGAACTGTATTTCTATTGCTCTCCGGAGAAACTAACCTGCCATTACCCTACTCAGTGTAACAGAAATATGTCTCCAACCTCACTGCTTTGCTTGTGCAAGTCTGCTTGAGGTCTGGCATTGGGAGGGACACCAGATGATGAGAGATACTTATTATCAGAAATAATGTTTATTTTAGTCAGTATTAAATATATCAATATTTGGGTGTTTTTTTTTAGGTGCCTGTGCACTTCAAAAGTTCCATAATCTGATACATATTCTTTTATTCATATTTTTAGTTGAATTTTTGGGGATGGCGCTGGTTAATAAAATTATGCAGATTTCAGGTGCACAATTCTATAATACATCATTGTGTACACTGTATTGTGTGTTCACCACTCCAAGTCAAGTCTCTACCCATCGCCATTTATCCCCCCCCACCTCCTCCCATACCTATCCTCTATTCTTAACGTTTCCTTTATGGAACAGGAAATAATGTAATATGTAAAATATATTATTAGCAAATATATGATATTGGATGGATCCTGAGACAGATATACTTATGAGGCACTGACTGCAAAATAACTAAGAGTGTAACTTCTCTTCTGAAAACTATAATGATTTGCATATGTTAAAAATAAAATAAATACTTTATTATTCCTTTCAGTTAAATCATATGTATATGGTGTTTTTCCTCTATTGTTTTTTATAAATAAATCTATAGCATATGCAAGTTACATTTAAAATTGCATGAAACATTTTAAGAAGAGAAGTTTGTCTAAGCAATTTTTCAAATATATTTACCTATTTCAATGGCATAAATAATTAAGAATACTTTTTAAAAGTAGGAAAATAATAAAATAATTAAATTGACTTTATAATTCCTTTCAGTTCTGCTTGTATTCTCAATATTTTCCATAGTGTCAAATCTCACGACTATTTTTTCTTTCTAGATCAATGCTTCTCAACTTTCTCATGTTTTATTCAAGAAAGGTTGGAGTCTTTTTTATCTTCCAAGTGCATAAATAGTCATTTTTTTGTGGTAAAATTATTCAATAGAACAATTGTAATCTTAACAGTTTCCTCAGAATACTCCTTTTCAAAAAGTTAGATGATAAAAATGTTATATGAGTGCATGAAAATTATATTAAGTGTGTCATCTATGGTAATAGCTATAAATTTATTCATTGCATTTTTCAGAGCAAACTACTTTAAAATTTTCACCGAATATTTGAGGAAAAAAATTACCGAGCTGTCCAGGAAGCCATTCCCATCTGTGTCATAGAGGCGAAACATAACTAGAAATAAAAGAGATGTTGGGAAAAAAGATTATAGGCAAGTAAGAGAAATGTTATTTTAAGGCATATTCTTCAAAAATATATTTTATAATTAAAACAAATACTATATCTGCCCCTTACTCAAAGCAGTTGATTTGCGAGATCATTTCTCAAGCTAAATTGAAAATGAATTAATCAATTAATAAAATACTGGTGATCAGATATAAAGTCAGTCAATTTTTGTTATGTACCTAGAAAACTATTGTTCAAATTCCTTATTACAAGATCATTAGAAGGAAACTCAAAAATAACAGAAGAAAAAGTATTTAGACAGTCAGAGTCTGGATATTAAATGGCAGAGTAAATAATTATCAACTGATTCATAGGACTGCAAATCAATTATAATTTGGAATTTACCACCCACTATTAGGTGAGCTCACATGAGCTCTACTAAAACACTTTTTACTCTCTGTAAATTAAAGGGAGAATAATCACTTTGTCCAAAGACACCCATTTGCTTTGAAAGTCCAATGAAACAGTACACACAAGTGCCTATCAAAAGCTGTAGGTCACTACACAAATATAAGCCATTATTTTGATTGTTCCCCCAGTAATATGAGAAAGGAAGGATTAGTGTCAAATAAGGGGATTTTTCTGATGGAGGATGACAAGGCATAAAAATGTATTATTATAAGGTGTATTTATTTAAATCTGAGGTATAGTTTTATAGGGTAGTCACTCTTTGAACTAATCCAGTAAGGACAAGAAGAATGTTGGCTTTGTGGCGGTGAACTTGGGAAAGCAGGATGACAGGGTCCACGGCGGGCCTGAGGACTCCCTGTATAATTCACACAGCGCTGGGAGCCTACGGAAGTGGCTGCAGGTGCCACGAGACACACAAAGAAGAATGACACAGCTGTGAAAACAAGACAAGTGGAAGTGAGGGTTTGTGTTGGGTTTGTATGATTTCCTGGAGAATCTTGATGTCTGAGGTATATAATATTAATAGACCTCAATTTGATAATTTGGTCATAATTTTACAATGACCTCGATCACATATTTGCAACTAATTTTTATTTCTGTATTTAAAATCATTACTATTATCTTGCCAATTTTAAGATATGATTACTTACAAGATGCAAAACTAGTCTGCATATCATTAAAAGGAAAACATGCTCCCAATCTATCATAGTCCAAGGTGAAATGCAAATAGTCTTTAAAGATGTTAAAATTCAAGGGGAAAGTGTGTACCAACTGAATAAAGGGAAATAATAGGATGGTTAAAGGGCATAAATGTCTTTATTTGAAAACCAGGATAATTGTTCTCTCATATACTCAATAAGTGAGAATAAAATTCAGAAAGAAAAAAGCCTATCACCATGTGGACACTAACCATTTCAAGGTTTTCTAGTACAGCAAAAATGGTAAAAATATCTTCGTAAATGGCAAGATTTCTGACACCACTCAGAGAATGGGTTAATTACGAGGCACAAGGCAAGGACTTAGAAAAGCTAACTACATTTAGAATGAAAGACACTCATAACCCCAGTAATCCCTATTGGCATAAATGACTGCTAAACCACTTTATACAGCTCAGATACATGGAAGCCCTGTGCGTGTTGGCACACCTTGCTGGAAACGTGAACTCAAAGACATAACACGAATGGGGGGAGCTTGTGGGTAACCATCATTTATTTTGGCAGCATTCAACACTCCTTTCTATGGCCTGAAAACCACATTCGAAATACAAAGCACAATCGCAGCTGAACCACAGGTACATTTTCTTTACTAACTTGAAATGAAGGTTGACTTTACACATGACCTAGGCTCTACCAATGAGAAGCAAAAGCACAGATGGTCAGATGTTAGCGACCCAGGAAAAAAGGAGCTGCTCAGAACCCACTCTGGTGTTGGGGGTCAGCAGCAGCAGTGACTGAAGAGAGAGCATTCAGGGTCCTCGGTGGGTCGGCAGTGCTTTTATTGAAAAGGGCACTGGCTGAGCTCAGGGAGGCAGCCGTGGATTTTTCCCCCAGTCCAGTTCATGCTTAATTTGATCATTCTTCCTGGAGAAGTAGCCTCCAAATCTAGTTTTCTGCCTCTCAGAATGAGTGTTCCTCAATATCATTTTTAAAATATTGATCTGCTTTATTAAACAAACTTAATTAAAAACTAATCGGTTTCTCTGTCTCCCTCCATAATACTATCAACTAAACATCGGTTTTAAAAATAAACATATTATTGAAGTAGTACTTATAGAATACATAATATTTAATCAATTATCAAAGTAAATGTACCAACGTATCTAATTATTCAAGTCAAGGAGTAGAATATTACTAACAGCAGAAATCTTCTCAGGCTCCCCCATCGCTATTTCTCCTTCCCTTTACAAAGCTAACCACTATCTAGGATTTTATATACATTCTTTTGATGTTAGCATCATTTACTGAATATTATGTTTCTGATCGTCATCTGTGTTGTTATGTGTAGCATTAACTCATTCACTTTCTTTCCTACCTATTAATCCTATGTATAAAAGCATCACAGTTTATTCATTCTATTTAGGCTGTTAGATATTTCCAATTTGATATATCTAGTAATTCTGGTGCTATTCCAAAAAATTCTGATATAAACCTTCTTGTAAAAGGCATTTGTGCTTAGATGAACATTTGCTATTTGGTTACAAACCAGTAAAAGGAATGCCTGGATCATATGAATTGCAAATGTTTACCTTTAGTAACACTGCCAAACATTTCCTAAGTGACTTGACCGAACTAGATTCTAAACAGCAGTCTATAAGAGTTTGAGTCTCTCTATGCCCTATGCCACTGACGTTTTAATTTCCATTTCCCTGATTACTAGTGATATTCAGTGAATTTTCATCCATTTATTTTCCAGAAAGACTTGGACTTTCCCGGGATATTCCAGACCCCTCAAGCTTCAGTTGGAGTCTGTCTGGATGCAATTTACATAAGGCCTTCTGTCAGAATCGCCCAATTAAGCTTTTTCTAGACACAAAATGGGGTAATACATTACAGTAGAAGAAGGAACAACATGGATATCCAATTATGCAACTACTACCACTGCAAAGATAATCTTTACTCGCTCTACTGTGCCAACATTGTCATAATTAATGTGCCCGTGTAAGTTTGGGTCAGTTTCTAGATTCCCCATTTCTAACTTTGTTCAACTACAGCTTTGTTTTAGGAATTCACTTGCTGATTTTAGTATTTATATCAAAATAAAAATGACCAAGAATGCCCAAAATTGCCATAAAAGGGGAGAACAAATTTGGAAGATTCGCATTACCTGACTTTAAGTGTTGCTAATAACCAAATGTAATCAGGACAGTGAAGTTCTGGCTAAGGTAAAAACAAATAAAATAATGGGAGAAAATAAAGTCAAGATATGGAGCGACACACATATGGTAAACAGGATACCAAAATACTTCAATGAGATAAGAAAAGTCTTTTCAAAAGATGACAAATGAACAACTAGATGAACATAAAACAAAAGAACCTTGACTCTTACTTCATATTAAACATAAGCATTATGTCAAAATGATTTTGAACTTTAAACTTTAGCTTTTGAAAAAATAAACTAATTTTAACATTAATGCTAAAAAGATTCTAGAAGAAAATATAGGAAAATACCTTCACAACCCTAACCACCCAGTATGAACCAGCAATAACAAAAAAATTAATAATAGGTAAATGAAACTTTATCAAAATTAAAACTTCTGTTCACCAAAAAAAGAAAAGAAAAGAATAAGCCAGCCACAAACTTGAAGCACATATATCTGACAAAGAACTCCTTTCTGGTTTATATGAAGAAATCTGAAAGTTCAGTATTAAAATGACCACGAACCTAGTCAAGGAAGAAGCAAAATTTGAGCAGATACTTCAAAAAAGGAAGTTATATGGATGCCCAATCATAACAAAGTGTTCAAAATCATCAATCATAAAGAAAATGAAAAATCAAACCACAATTAGAGAGACCACCATATAGGTACTAAAACAAATTAGATAGGAGACATGGACAGTTGTTAATCTTCCCCAAAGGCCAGTCCACCCAAAAATGCTCAGTTGTTCAGCCTCTCAGTTTTCATTGTAAGAATTTACAATTAAAAAACATGGGCAAAAGCCAGTCGCTTCTCTTCCAGAAATTTGACCCACAAATGTTACTTGTCCTAATAACTCCCTGAAACTTTTCAGAATAATAAAAACAAAAATTCTTGTGTCCAAATTTTCTAGTTGTTTCCAGTAAGAAACCTGGTCTAAAAACACTTAGTTCACCGTTGTCTGAACGAAAAGCCCTACTATGTTTTACATAATTAATTTCTAAATACATAAATAGGGATTAATGACTGCCTATGAATCCTATCTAATTCGTGTAGGAAAAAAGGTGGAGAACTTTAAGTTTTATTCGGTAATAATAGCAATAATAAAAATGTATACATAGAGAGAATACTAAGTATCATAAACTCTAAAGCTCACCAAGAGTAAGTCAGGGATAAATGTTTTCTTCCCCTCTGAATAAGAGAAAAATTCTAGGATTTTAATTTTCAAAGTCTACTTTCCTAAACTAAAATAGTACTGGGGTCATGCAAAATATGAACTATTGAATACACACATTTTTCTTGGCTTTCTATTGAAGTGCCACTAGAGATTGGCATTGAGAGGCATAAATCCACAAGTACAAAGAAAATGTGAAAGGAGAAAAGAATAACCAAATTTTAGATGCTGGAAAACACATGAAAATTGGCTTAGCCTGAGAAAGAGGGACTTAAGCTGGTGGTGCAGAAGAGGCGAAGATTTGCACAGATAACCAAATTTTAGATGCTGGAAAACACATGAAAATTGGCTTAGCCTGAGAAAGAGGGACTTAAGCTGGTGGTGCAGAAGAGGCGAAGATTTGCGAAGATCTCCTATCTAATTTGCACAGAAAGGGTAGTGAGTTGAAAATCTGCTAAATAACCTTCATGAAAAGAAGTTAGATCCTCAAATACTATGTACCACACTTTACACCTGATTAAAGAATAGATAAAGAGCACAAGTTTCAAAACAAAAATTTATGGTGGAATATATGGCAATTACTTAGCTGTGTAAAAATAGAGAAATTAATTACATAAGGAAAAAGGCAATTATTAACATTATGGAAAATAAAAATTGGTTTGGTAAGCACATAGAATCTTTCCCATTTAAAACAGTATCTCAATAATATGGATAAACTTAATACCTATCATCAATTATTATAAAAAGACTTTCTTCTTAGCATTTAAAAGTAAAGTTAGGACTAGGGTCAAGTGAATCATTGAACAAATAGATCTTATTTTTTAAATCAACATAATGGAGATATAAATTTTAGGTGCAAAAGTAATTTAAGCCCAATATTAAAATTATTCTGTCAACATGATAGCTTCCAAAGGTGGGTACATGTTACAAAGTTGCAAGCTACTTTAACCCACTTTTTTCCTATTTTTATGCCCCTGTAATTACACTTTATATAGAAACAATTATGTGCCCACACATGGATTTGGTTGAAAGATCAGAGCAAAGGCATATTATGCAATATAAGGGTAATTCTTTATCTTTAGACTTTTTTCTCTTCCAAAAGATTGCAGGTTTCTATCTTTTTTCCTTGAATATTATTTTAATATACTCTGGTTTTTATGCTTTATATTATGTCATTGATATGAAAAGATTAATTTGGAATTTGTTATTAAACATTAGATAGTATATATTTTAAAAAAGCATTTTTGCTGGAATTTCTTAAATTCGCATTTTTTTACCATTTTGTATATTTCAATAACTATTTAAGCTTTAAGGACAGAGGTGAAATAATTTGCTGGTTGGAGTTGGTGATATCTGAAGCAATGGAGTAATATTTTATTTTTTCACAAGAGAATAAGAACAATGAAACGAAGCTTTACAAAATAAAAATAGCACATACAGTAGATCAGAAATCATGGGTTTTAGTCATAACTAGATAAACTGTGGTATAATTAATACCCAGACTCTCTGGGCTTTTTTAATTGACACCGTGGGGAAGTTGCCTTCTCATAGCGCTAACTAACATACAGGTTAGTCTTCATTATCTCATGACAATTATCTATTTTCTAGTTATTTTCCTATTGGTTTCCCTTTAGTGATATATGTTTAGTAAATGCAAGCTAATTGAAATGTTATTAAAATTAAGTCATTGATAATTTATAAACACTAATCTAAATATAAATATCATATATTTTTAAGTCTCAATATAAATAAATATAGTATGATTTCATGCCTTAAATATTTATATCACTTTTGTCTTTTCGTGCACCGATTAACGTTGATACAACTCCATTAAACTATCATATTTTGAGCATCTCTGTGTTGAAACACACGCACGCACTCCCAAACACGCAAGCCCATGCACACACAAGTGGCAGTTGCCATGGTGGGAAGTTACGCGCAGCATAAGGGTACCAGTAAAGAGAGCGGGATCAGTCCAGCCAGGAGACGGAAAGAAAATTCACGATGTGAGCCTGGCCCGGGTCTGATATTTACCAGGAATGAGCACCCGCAACAAATGCACCTTATAAATAAAGGTATGAAGTTGAAAAGGTTGAGGGTTTGTCTGATGACTGAAAAACAAATCCATTTGTGTTTGTGTGGGCAAGTCAAAGCCAAATGTAATACTGGCAAGGTAGGTTGGGGTCAAATTATGGAGGCAAACCAGTTTATGGATGCCACATTAAGGGTTTAATTTTGTATATTACTCAGTAGGGGGCTATCAAAAGAACAGTTATCCCAAGTCAGAAGAGAAATAAGAAAGAATAGATCTGACTGTTAACAAATTCTATGTAACATGAGAGGGAGTCATAAGATTTCAAACTTTAGACATAAGATGATTAAACAGGCAGGTGTCTGAAAGAAAACAAAGCATTCAAATTAACTTTTAACTAAAAGAAGTTGATGAACAGAGGAACACTAAGGACCAATTGAGGTTAAGCCACAGAATTATATTTAGATAGTTTTATAAACCTCTGCAAGCTCAGTATATGAGCAAATATACTGCATGCCTGAAACTAAGTATGAAAGAATGGTTGGCACCATGGACTATCGGTCACTCTCTATTTGAAGGCATGAGAGGCCAAAACACCACGAGTAAATTCAGGAGAAAGTGAAATGGCAAAGAGATAAGAGTTCTAAGCTTTTATTTCATTTCATAAACAATTACCAGTACATAGACTAAAAAATGTGAAGCAATTTATGTGAGCAAATATTACTTAATTTAATTCTCATGGCAAATATATGAGAGCCATAATTTTGATTGCAATTTTACAGTTGGGGAAACTGAGGTATAAAGAGGTGTGTTTTAGTTTTGTTCTGTTTATTTTAATTTGCCCAGGTCACTCAGATAGTAAGTATCAAAGCTAGGATGTACCTGCTTAAGGAAATCAAGATCCAAATTGAGCCTTGACCTGCGAACGTTAATTATTTTAGATGCTTCATCATATCTATTTCTGTGTTAATTATAATTCTTTTTCTTCTGTTCTTTCCTCTAGTTATACTGTGTTTAATAAGTCATAACTATTTTGGAAATAAATATGTATTAAATTAATAACCATTAAACTTCTTTAAAGTCTTACTAAATTTTTTTAAAAATCTGTAACTTTAAAAGAATATATGAATGTTAGAAATTTATAAATTTGCAATTCTAACAAGACTAAAATGTATAGAACTGCACGTTGCAAAGTAAGTGGGTGAGGGGAATGTATTCTGACTTAATTAACATAGGAAAGGGCCAGGCCTAGGCCTTTAAAATCAAATACAAGCTCTTGGAAATTAAGGTTTAGGTTAGGGTCTTCCAAAGTAGAGGAGGGTAGGGGAGAGACCTAGAGCACAGCTGGACACAGGTATACCTTAATGTACTTCCAGGGTTGAAATTCATTTACGTTGAAGACTCAAGTGAAAATCACAGTAATTGTGCCAGGCCATAATAAGTCTGCCTACAAGAAGAATCTGAAGAAATGTTAAGAAAAGAAAAAAAAAAAAACAACTAAATCTTGTGAAAGTGTAAAAAAGAGCTGGAAAATACAAAGACAGAACAGAGGGAAGGGGGATGGTAACACTTGAGAAAGGTAAACGGAAGGTCAGGTTTGACTTGATGCATCAAGTGTTTTTGAATGATTTGTGGGTCAGCACTCTGTCTGTAATTGTGGACAAAGACTGTTGTTGATTCATAGACTCAAATTGAGAACTTAAAAGCATACCTCTTAGGAATTTCAGTTTTAAAAAACTATTTCTAGCTGACCTAAAATAATTAAACTGCAACACAAAGACCATGTTGGGGAGGCATGATGGTGCCTTTATTCAGTCTGAGAACTGGGGGAAAAAATGCCTTTGTATTTTTAAAATCATCACTAACATGGTCCTGATAACACCTGAGCAAACTTTTTCTCTGGCTGTAACTTCAATAGAAATTCACTGAACATTAATATTTATTTCGGAAGGAGAGAGATTTCTGTAAGTTCTTAGGAATACAAATAAATCTTGAAATGCAAATATTCAACATTTAGGAATAATAAGTATTTATTTAAAGAGTAATGTTAATATAGTTTATTCATAAGCAGATGTGACTCAAATTATCAAATTACAGTAAACTCTTTATTAAAGAAAAATTTCATCAACATTTTACTATTAAGTTTAATTAAACATACTTCCTAATCATAATTCTGAGACATCACAATGTATATTGGCTTTAGAGATGTCAAATTTAGGATTCATTATCTTCACTATCATTTCAGTAGCAAAATTTTTTAATTCAATTTTAATAATATCCAATATAATCAAGTTAATCAGATTACTGAACAAACTACCAGCTATATAGTTAGCAAGGACTTTGGAGACAGAATAGATTGCTAAACGAATGATCACCTCAGCTTAGAGTGAATATTTATAAAACATTTTTCTTGCATTGTAATGAGGACCGTTTGCCACCAGAGAGAGCTCAATCACTATATTTTATAAGAGAGAGCAATTTTTCCTTTCAAATAGAAATTCTCTATATGAAATACCTGCTACACTGAAGAAATAAACAGTAGCTATTGTTTAATTATTGATAATATCCAGAGTCAACTTCTGTAAATAAAACTCATGTGTGGCATTTGAGCAATCATTTGTTCCTATCAAAGTGGGAGGAAAAAGGACCCATGGGCACGGACAACAGCGTGGTGATTGCTTGGGGGCGAAGGGCAAAAGGGGACTAAATGGTAATGGAAACAAATTCAATAAAAATTAAATTAAAAAAGAAGAAAGCATTAGAGCTGACACTTTTAAGAAAGATTTCCAAGGGATAAAGCCTTATACTACATGTATAAATGTATATAACATGAACCCTTTTGCTGACGCATAGAAAGGCCTTCTCATATCCTAGAAATAAATATTTGCTTTCCTTTTTCAAAACAACTCTAAGGATACTTTCCAATATCATCTTATTACCAAACTGAGCAACATTTTTAAAGTCATTTGTTAGACAAACATGTTCAAAAAATACTTGGCAATAAATTAAATGTGATAAATAACCTGAAATCAATTATTATTATTATATTTTGATTTTTCAATTGCACTAATTTGTATTATTCACCATGGTCACTTTATTTAACAAAAATTTAGATAATCATTCTAGATGCAATTTTAAGTTAATCAATACTCAGTCCCTTTCCCTAGCCCCCAACTGTGATGAGTAAACTAAACAAAGAAACACATACACTCCAGTTTGTCCTCAGGACGCCCCCTTTCCAGGAGAGACAGGTAACAGACAATGTCCTTCAGATGGATTACTTCTGGGGAGCACGTATTTGCAGGAGAGGTGCGAGGTGGGGTGATGGCACCTTTGTTCATTCTCAGACCTGAAACAAAAATATTTGTCTTTATATTCTGTAAAACATTCACAGTGGTTTTAAAAAAGCAACAAATAGGGAGCTCAAGCACAGACCACACAGAGAGCTATAGATTTCCATGCATAGGATAACCAACCTCTCGGAGCTCTGGTAGAGCAGAAGCAGACATATCATATGACTGTTGTAAACAATGGAACTTCCTGGGATTTGAGGCCCTGGGGTCCGCTCTGGCTGCCTAATGCAGAGGTTCAGGGTCAGGGCCCTATGGCGCAGGCTGAGTGGGTGGACAGGTTTGAATGGACCAGGGGCCACTTTCCTATTCCACCTTCCTCTGCTTTAGACAGTCAGAGCTATAGATCAGCTGGAAAGAGACATAAAATTGGCTGTTTATTAACAAAAGAAAACTGAAGAAGAAATTTGGATCTGTCACTATATGATTTATTCAGGACTCATTCATTCATAAAAAGTTATGCCAAATATTTGCGAGCACATGAACAAGACATCCTTTTTGCCATCAAGGAATCTGCCCATAAGTAAGAAAGAAAGGACAGACACAAAAATTTGGATACACGTGGTAGGCATTCCATTAGAGAGCTAATAACATATGACTGAGGTTTGATTTTTATATGGTCCATATTTAATTTCTGAAACCCATGCACAGTGCTTATTCCAAAACAAGGGGAAAGAACTTTAATGCCTCTTCACAACAGCTGACAATTGCTGATTATCTGGCAAGTGATAATCAAACTGAAACTCTTTACAGTAAATGGTTACTTCCATCGTATACAGAAGCCTCTGAAACCAGATCACATGTACTGGATAAAACCTGAAGGCAAACCCCAATTATCTTTTGAGGTCTATCTGGCAACATCACAGGGGTTTTGGTGAGATTGCTAATGGGCTGAATGCCTGCTGTGTTCCTAGTCAGCCAGGAGGTATTTAATAGAGGGAATAATCGCAACGAAATGCAGTTCTACAAGCTGGCCATTCCTTGGTGCAGGTCTATCTGATCATACCCCTTGCTCTGTTCTATTTCCTCTGATGTAGGAAGCCATCCAATAACCATTATCTCCTTCAGCCATCTCAAGATAGCCAGTATGTCACTTAATGCATTACTAGAAGTTATTCATTAGTTTTATCATTTACAATGCTATTGCTAATAAAAGGTACCATTTATTGAGGGGGTAATACGTAGCGGGACATGCTGAGGGCTTTACTATGTGTCATCGCACTTAACTTTGTGTGACGTAGACTGTATTACTCCCATTTTACAGATGAGAAACAGGCTTACAGTGACTAATTTCCCAGAGATTCCTAGCTACCAAATCCATCCTCTTTTTTTCTACAGTAATGGATTACAAGCCATTGTTGATTCAATGCGGACAGTAAGAAGAAAAAAATTTTACACTTTAATCCAGGATAATCCTTTTTTATACAAACACACACACATCAATTAGTAGGTTTTGTAACTGACCCAATATTTTCCTTTATATATTATCCTATTCTCTTTTCTTCTATTCTATTTCATTCTTAAAATTCTATCGAAGACCCTCTAAATTGAATTCATTATCCATTAATGTGCCCCTACCCACAGTTTGAAAAAATGCTGCTTTATATCTTTTCTTCATTTTCTTTTCCATAGTCTTACTTATTTCAAAAACATCTCTATGCTCCACTTCTACTTCTTTATATAGTTATTGAAATATATATGTATATTTAATGAAATGATTTTTCTTCTTATCAGAAGTTTTACAGTATATCTAACACAAACTAATATAGTTATTTTATAAGCCAAAAAGGCAAAGAATTGAAGACCATTCTGAACTTTAAAAAAATTACCTTACTGTTTCTAATTGACAAACTAAAGCTTTGCCAGCTGCAGGAATAAGCGGTTTCAACTTATGATAAAAGACAATTTGGTGATGACTGTAGACACAACCCTAACTTGCAGCCCTGGAGAACAGAGCCCTTGAATTATGGTTGGATAAACCATGACCTAACTCCTGCCCGATGAGCTAATCCTCTCTTCCTAGTTTCCCCCTTATGGTACTGAAATGATTTAGTCAGCTTGTTTTAAATCTTTTATACAAAAACTCAGAATAAATCTAGAAAGAATGAAAAGAACATGCACATTCATTTGACAGAATGCAAAATGTATTATATGTTTCACTTATTTAGAACACTTTATAATCATTTATTTGTACTTATAAAACTAAGGTACATGGCATTCTGTTAAAAGCCATGCACCTTATAATACTGAATATAAACAGCTGAAGGGTGTGAGGACTACACAATTCTGTTTGCCTTCCCTGAATGTAATATATTTACATTGAACATGAACATACATATATAATTTATATTGAGCCCTAACTTTTTAAAGAAACCTATTACTGTACTAAAATTCATTTTGTTTGACAAAATGAGTAAATACTCCCCATTTTCTGTTCATGACAATTTGTAAACTAAACGCTGTATTATGTATTGTCATAATTTTACGTTTTAAAGAATTTAAAAGTTTATAAACAAAAGTATGATCATGCACGAAAACACAGGTTGGAGAACTAATTAAATCTTTGTCAACTCCAATTATAGTCAAATTTGAGAGGTTTAGTATATACTTTTTACAATGAATTATAGAGTGCAATTAAGAAAAAAGATGCATGAAGACCTTTCGCACAACTATTTAATAATAAAGCAATTTGTAGAGCTGGGCTTTACTAAACCTTGAGGTGCTGAACTGATGAAAAAGCTCGCTAGTGTGTTCCTGCTCCCGCCCTCTTCCTAAGATCAGCCCACTTTCTCTTATATACTGAAGATGTTTCTAAATAATTTCATTTAATTTTCTAAAAGCATGTCCTGGGCCGTAAGGTGTTTTCATAGAGAATGCTTTTACACTCTACCTTTAAAAATTTCTTCCCATTCCCTAAACATGGCTGGAGATCTTTCCACTACTTACCTCCATCTTTGACAATGCAGTGCCCCGAAGAAAAGTCATTTGCCTTTTAAGAAAATTATGCTAAAGATTATCCAGAACCCACGGGAAACCACACAAGTAGCAAACACGGCATTGCAAGCCTGGTTCCTTGTGTATAAGCTTCTCAATGAGATGGGAAATGGAATCCTATACTCCTTTAGCAGCAAAGGGAGAAGGCTCAAAAATCTCCTTCCCATTAACAAACACCATTTTAACCCATCCAGCTGTGGGTGAAACTCTCTCTTTAGAACTGGAACTAAGCATGAAGGTAGGCAAAACAAAAAGTGTTTTTGTTTCAAGTGGTCAATATTTAGCTCTGAAGATCATGCAATTTACTGACAGCCACTTTGCATATTCTCTGACCTGCCTAAGGTTATGCTCTTTTAAATATTTTTTAACAAAAGTAAAGCAAGTACACACACACACATATACACACACACACACCCCCATTTACATCCACATATCTATGTATATCTATACATACATTCATATACATTACAGTGTACAACAAAGTGCTAAGAAAAATAATCGTTGTATTTAGAGTATATTAGTTTTGTTTTGTTTTTTTAGAGTATATTAGTTTTATTAGAAAACATTATCTTGTACTTGGAGTGTTTTGTGTTTTTGTGCTGATTTTAGTATGTACACTAAAATATATATGTTTAAACAGTCATACATAAAAACATTCTTTTCTCTTCAAAGTTTAACTACAAAAGTAGTCCAGCTGAACACTGCTTGCTATTATGCTCTTCAAGTACACGATTTTCATTTTACTCCAATCTAGACACTCTATTTCTGGAACCAATAACCTGAAAGATTTGTTCTAAGTGATACTCAATTCCAGTCTCAGGGCTCAATTATTAGTGAATAAGTTTTGGGTACATGTTCAATTACTGCCTCTGCTCCAGCTTCCTTTCCAAACACTGACAAAGGCAGATAATGAAAACACTAGCACCTTATCAAGTTTTCCTTCATCTATTAAAAAATGAAATATTCAAAGTTAATAACATAAATTACATTTCTAAACTTCTAAGGCAATAAAACAGTCTAGTGATTTGACTTTTCCAATTTTTTAAATGCTGGTTCAATTTGCAGAAATTTACCAAGCTTATGAAGCAATTTGTAACCAACCATAATGCTACTTCCCACATCCATATTAATAGCCATGATGAGCAGCATAGATGATCAAGAGTAAAAGCAGTTGTTTAGTATTAGTATACAATTCATGATTTTTAGAGTTACCCTTCCAATTACGTTGGTCTTAGTATAACATTATAATTTTGTTAATATTTTGTTCTTATACAAACTGGAAGCAAAATGACATAACACTGGGTTGCAAATGAACAAGGATGTAAAGTCCACCGTGATTCCTCATAAAGTGAGGGCAGGCAGTGCCAGACAAGAAACTGAGGTCAGCAAAACCCTCTAAGAACATACTGTGCTTTATGATTGGACATTGGCCAGAACCCCAAACAAGGGGTTATAAGGAACAGGACTTGAGCACAGGTTTGTGGATAATTTTCCAGCTGGGGTGTCGAACCCGCAGCCCACAGGCCGTATGCAGCCCAAGATGGCTATGAATGTGGCCCAGCGCAACATCATAAATTAATGTAAAACATTATGAGAATTTTTTTGCGATTATGTGTTACAATGTATTTAATGAGTGGCCCAAGACAACTCCTCTTCTTCCCGTGTGGCCACAGACACCAAACGGCAGGACACCTCTGTCCTGAGCCATTATTATTGAAGGAGCAGCAAGAACAGCAGCTCTGGCTGTATGCCAACACTTACACATAGTGGTTTTCTTTGACCCTACAAGATTATTTTATAGACAAGAGGATGAAAAGTCAGAAAGTAAATGGCTGATGTTTAGGAAGCAATAGAGGAGTCAAGAGCTGAAGACATGCCATGTAATTCTAAATGCTACACTCTTTTCAAGGCAGTTAAAACGGTATCTGTCCACATCAGTCTTCTCCAGTAGAATAGTCTGGTCTTATAGCTCTGTGATATGTATGTATTGTTCCATAAGGTATAA